CTTGATTTAAATTGAAATCATTATACCTGCAGTTTCCCGTCCTGCAATGGAGTATGTACGTCTGACCTCTAGGGTTACGAGCATTATATTCCTGCAAAGCTCGTGCAATCTGGCAAAAGAATACGATTAGTTCGTGGCACGAACATTATTCCAAGTTGACGGGAACAGGTACTTCGTGTTTTGGAAGAAAATGAAAACATCCATTACTTTCCAGTGTTTACCGCTTCCTTAAATTGTGCGATACCGCTAATGTCCCTTCCTCCAGCTTGTTTTGGCAATACGTGAAAAACGGACGAGAAGTAAAAATTCGACGCTACAGTGAGAAAATTACAAGACTCGTCGAATAATCTTGGCCAACCTGGAGGATTTTTTTAGCGTTGCCGAAAGTAGTTGTAAGTTAATAATTCTTTGTCTGACTTTTCCATGAACATCGCGGCATTCGTAAAAATTGGAAGTTTGAGACAGGCGAAAAGCCAAGATTTGCTTTCATTTTCGTCAGATATCGCATAGCGACTGCGGAGTTCGAATAGTTGCGCGCTTAATTTCCACATTTAAAAGATGCCAGCAGAACATCACTAGTCATAAATGTGTACTAAGTGAGACGGACGAAGGGCTAGGGACTCCTTCATTTCCGCGGGATACCACATACCTACTCCGGAGTTCGAATAGTTGCGTTGCGCGCTCGGTGTCCGTTTTGACTAGTGTTCAACACGGAGTGTTGATACAAACAACATATTCATGTAAATTTCCGTAAACATTAAAAAAATACGCGATTTATCCCGCAGTTTTATAAACCCATAATAAAGTATACGCACGATTTTCATCTAAGTATGACGGCAAATACGCAATTTTTCCAGCGATTTTGCAAGAACATGATAATTCACGCGTATTACGCAACTCAAAATCGCGGTGAATACGCGATTTTTCCGGCAGTTTTGCGAAAACAGGAAAACCTATACGCGTTTCTCACCTCAATAAAGAGGCATATCCGCGAGTTTTCTAGCAGTTTCGTAGAGAGCATACAAAATTTTGCACTGTAGCTTTATGTGAACTAAAAACAATCCGAAAAATCGCGTTAAAAATTGCGTGTTTCTTGCAGAAGCGTTGCAACCCGTACGTGAGAAAAAAGAAAACAAAAGATGATATCGATTGGAAAATTTCTTTCATTTTCTCTTCGGGGCCGGGGGGAGGGATAACGTTTAAAAAATGAGAAAGCCAATTTAAAGAGAGAATGGGCAGGAGAAATCGCGCGCTTCTTGCAAAATTGCCACAATGGACCACTAGACAAGGTACGAATTTCAGCATTCTAATACATGTTTCTTTACCAAAATTTCACGTAAAACACGATGCGCACAACGAATATTACCGAAATCAACTCCTTCCGAAGATATTAATGATTCTTGGTGCGAGAATTCAAACCACCCGCTCATGAAAACTCAATGCTCTACGTGATTCACATCGCTCGTAAACGTTATCATGAACGTCTCTGCTATATAAAAATCTGGCAACCTCAATTTTGACGCTTTGGCTCAGGTACAGCAAATTACTTATAGTTTGAAAAACACATGGTGGGAAATGAACATTCCTCGACTGAGAAGCTTGCTGAAACCGTTGTAGTGCGCGATTTGACTCACGTAGAGCTTTGAGTTTCTTGTGAGCGGGCAGTCCAAATTCCTCGAAACAAATGTAAAATAAAAATGTTAACAGCTTCCTTAGGAGTTGATTTCAGTAATTTTCGTTGCGCGAATCGTGTTTTACGTGAAATTCTGGTTAAGATACATGTATCAGAATGCTTAAATTCGTACCTTGTCTAGTGGTCCATTCACGCATAAAAAGAAAGAAAACAGAAGATTAACGATTTGAAAATTAGTGGGGAGGGCGGCATTTGAAAATTGAAATGAAGGAGTATAGATTCTCTGTATCCTCGCCGACTAAAGTTTACGAAAAGATCTGAGATTTGAGTGATTTCCTTGGCTGCATCCGTTGCCAATCGTAGTAATTTGGCCGATGCGCATGCGCCGCGCGGTCGGTTGTGTGGTGAGATGTTCACTAGTGGGCACTCGTAATCGTGGAAGCGCGCAAAAAACAGCTTTTAAGCGGCCGCACGCTGAAACCAAAACGATGACATAAAGTTTTCAATCGTAGAGACGCTTACGGCTTATTTGAATTTGCGGTTATTACTCTACATGAATTAGCGGGCGGTCGACCGCAAAACCGCCGGCGCGGGTAGACCGCCCTCATCTTTCAACGAAAAAAGAGACCAGTGTTGTGAGTTCTACATTCGGTAACGTTGCATGGTGGCAACGATCATGGTGTCAACAAACCAAAAATCTGATCATGGAGTCAACGATTGTTGACGTCGTGATCAGGCAGTAAAACGCAAAAATGGGCCCTGAGCATGGTGTCAACGATCACGGTGTCAACAAACAGAAAAATATCTTCCTTGTGAGTAAAATTAAAAAATTAAGTGTACAGGAGAGGTCTGGGTCACGTATAGTTGGATTAGGTTAGTTTAGGTCAGGTAAGGTTAGGTTAGGTTAGGTTAGGTTAGGTTAGGTTAGAGTGAATAACACAAGAAAAACAAGACTTGAGATTTAAAAGGTGTTATTGAGGCAAGTTTTAAGTTTCGTTGACGTCGTGATCGTTGACACCGTGATCATTTTTCACGAGGGTCAGAATTTTTTATTTTTGGATGATCATGGTGTCAACAAAAACTTAGAAAAACTGTTTGTTGACACCATGCTACGTAATCCTACATTCCAGGTCTACATGCGGAGGTTTCACGACTTTGAGGCAAGTGCGTCATTCGATATTTTCGACTCGATGGCAAAAGGAACTTCGAAAATTATGACGTTTCACGACGCGATAATGAGTAAAGGATCAAGAGGGTTACATGTCAGTTTACAAAACAAACACGGGAATGGGCTTTGCGGAATTTTCTCTCTTCTCTAAGTGCGGATAACTTGTACATTTTCTGATGACTATTTCAACGCACTTGATAAACCCGCCTTGCGCGAATCAAACTTCCCTGCCAACACCCTCGACTAACCACCTGGATCTCCAAGACGTTTTGTTTCCAATTCGGCAACCTGAAGAACAACTATCTACGCCAGGACGCTGCTCTCGCAACTCGGCCGAAGATCCAAAAAGACGAACGAAGAATCAGAAGTACGACGTTGTCGAAATTAAAACGATAATGACCGATTTAAATCAGAGCAGTAAGTTTTTGTGACTCAAAATTCCCCACGCCTAGCCTATATTTCAGTTACTCCCGCACGGAGTGAGAAGGAATGAACTCCCTTTTAAATTTCTTCCCCGAGTTCGTGATTCTCATCACGAACTAGAACTAGAACATCGGAAAATATCGCTAGTTTCTTTGGGAATTGCTGAGAAGGTTTACCTGGAAGAAATACCAGGTATATAGAATTCACCAGTTTTGTTTACCATAGTCGTTCCTACAAAAGATGCGTCAAACTAGTCTCACCCAGCAGGCCGATTATTGAAATTTTGATAGACAAAGCTATAGACAAAGAAGACGAAAGAGATATGGAGGGATCCCATTGGTGGAATCGGGTGGTTGCAATGGACAAAGGAGGTAGGTAATAGACTAAGTAACGGCAACCTATATAAGGGACCCGATAGTTAGTCCATAATTTTCTCCCTTAGTGTATAGGAACCACCCATTTCAACCAATAGGATAGCTCCATACTCCCTATGTCTTCTTTGTCTATCGCCTTGTCTATCAATTTCAATAATCGGCCCGCTGGCCTCATTACAACGGACAATGTCCATAGGTGACTATAGGTCCATAGCACGAAAAGTAACACACTGTAACAAGTACGCAGGGATCCTGCGGGCTGATGATTGGAACTGATAGATAAAGCAATAGACAAAGAAAACGACAGAAAAATAGAGCAATCCTGTTGGTTGTTATGTACTGATGGAAAAAATGATGAACTTTGACATAAAGACTCTCGTGGGTTGCCATTAGTTAGTCTATTACTTACCTCCTTTGTCTATTGCAACCACCTGCTTCCGCGAATAGGATCGGTTTATTTTCCCTTGGTCTTCTTCGTCTATCGCTTTATCTATCAGCCCGCTGATCGTATTTAATTTACCGGACATCGTGAATCACGGTTGCCACAGAATTTAGAGAATGAAATTCTCTGACATTTCTCTAATTTTCCTGACACATTTTGGTGAAATTCCCTCACAATTGAAAATCTGACGTATGGTTAAATAGGCATAATTGAAAATAGTTTTCAGGCAAAATTTCTTGTTCAAAATCTCAAACCCATTCTAAAAAGCAAATGAAGGTGATTTAATAAATTTTCCCTGACATTTCCCGGCTTTCCCTGACTGTGGCAACCCCGTTGAATACCGATAAATCCTTGTGGGTCAACGATGACTAAGGGATCTTTACACTGAATACACGGTATTTTTTCCATGAGGGAAAGTTCCCGCTTATGGTGAGCGACCAGGCAGCACTGCTTCGAGACGGGTTGTAAAGGCGTAAAACGTGCCAGCGCCTCGCTGTTGAACGGGAAAAGCGAAAACACCGCCGCGCTGCACCACGCCGCGCCGGGCTGCGGCCCAGAGCCATGGTCCAATGGTAATGGTATAAATGGAGGCTAATGATTCGAGTGATTAACACCTGGTCCAGGCCCGCGCGCCGTTGCGATGCGCGCATAGAACTGCGCCTGCGCACTAAACTGCCGTCCTAAGGAAGAGCGCCGTATGAGCCTTCAAGCGTTGCCAAATTTCCCACAGCAAATCGCTAATTTTCAGGTAATTTTTTGAACATTTTTCTGCCAATTTCTCAGATATTTTGTTTGTAATAGGATCCAAAGTGTCTTAAAATTTCAAGAGAAAATATTAATAATTTTCCTACAAAATAAACATACAATCGAAGGAAATTTAGCAACTCTCGAATGTCCATACGGCGTTCTTCCTGAGCGGGGCAGTACAGAGCATGCGCGGTGATGAGTAGTGCAGCGAGCTTACCTGAGACGGTCGCAAGACTCCTCACTTTCTTTGTCGGAATCTATGTGTCGCAATGTCTCCCCCATCTCCTCGTTGGCCTCTGAAACAAAAACAACTCATTAATTGCCTAATTAATTGAAACAGAGGCAGCTATTTACGAGTATTTGATTTCGAAGAGTTCTGTGGCGTCTACGACGGCTGAGCCGATCAGAAATGGATCCTGCCCAGAGGCCATATTCTCACAATACGGGTAGTCTGGTAAATTGAAAATAGAGGCGACACTCGCCTTGAGAAACAAAAATACGTACAAAATACAGGAGGTTATGGGTCAATACAGGGGTGTAGAAAGTTCTTCGGCATGCGTAATTTCGAGCACCGAGGGGTTCAGCCTACGCAGTATTACATTGCGAACACAGAGCTTAATTTTCTAAAAATTAAAGGCGGTCGCATACATTTTCTGAAAATTCAACGCTTTCGCAGTAATTTTTGCTAAAATGCAACACTTCAGCAGTTATTCTCTTGAAAAAAAAAAGAAGAAAAAATCAACACGTCCACCCTAGAAAAATGAGTGTGTATACACTGATTTTGCCGACCTCCAACACCCTTATCATAAGTTTTTGTAAAAATCAGTGCGTTGAATGTTCACTTTTAAGAATATAACCGATTTTTTAAGTCGAGTAACCGAATGTCAGATGCATGTAACCGAACTTCTGTCATCGGCTTTTTTAACCTCGTAAGTTTGGTTATACTAACCGAACTTTCGGTTACAAAAACTGAAAAATGGGTAGGGCGATCCGATTTGAAATAAAAGAAAACACTAAGTTCTCCTACATTTTGTGGGAATGCAATTTTATCTTCATGAAGTCAGAGTTGTATTAGAGAAGTTGGAAGTTGTCACTTGTTTCGCCCCATCCAACTTTTCTACTCATGCGTTGAAGTCTTTGAGTCAGCCGAAAAGAGTTCAAGTTCTCCTTCATTTCGTGGAGATGTAATATCACCTTCTTGAGAGTCGAAATAGTTGCATCATACGTCCCGCGGCATCCAACTTTTCTACTCATGCGTTGAAGTCTTTGAGTCGACCGAAAATAGTTCAAGTTCTCCTTCATTTCGGGGAGATGCAATTTCACCTTATTGAAAGTCGAAATAGTTGCGTCTTATGTTCCGCCCCGTCCAACTTTTCTACTCTGCGTTAAAATCTCCGAGTCAGTGCGAAAAAAATACTAAGCTCTTTTCACTGCTGTGAGTCTCTTCACAAAGTCTCTTCAAAATGAAAACATGCGATGTCCTGGCTGAATGAATAAATTTCAGGGTCTCGCTGCAAAATGCCTTGCGAACTTCTACGATTTCTCTTAAGAGTTCCCTGAGTTTCTCTGAGCTCTTTTTTTCGGTTTTCCTGTGCCGCTAATGCAGTTTCGACCGTTCAGGCCGTAGTTTAAGGGGGCGAAAGCCCGGAATGTATTTCGCAAAAATAAAAATTTACCAGAAAAATTAAAAATTAAGAAGCAGGAATATTTTAACTAAATAATAAAGGAACTCAAATCGACAATATAGTGCAGACAAATTTGGAAAGTCTCGTCATGTAAATACAGAAGATTCGAAAAGGCCTTCAATTGAAGCGTGATACCTCACGCGTTCCGGAGAGTTCAAATAGTTGTATCCCTGCGCCTTAAGAAGGCGATGGAAGTTAAATACTGAAGTAGCGTCCCCGCTTGGTTTTTCGGCTTTCCTGTGTCGACGCCACGCCACTGGTTGAAACTCCTCTGAAAACTGCCTAAATCGTCGACTCATTCATCGAAAGACGGTGGTCGCGATCCGAAGGCAGCCAATAGAATCGTCCCATAAACGATAGAGGCTAATAGCAGTAGCGAGGCGTGGAATGGTCGATTATCGATACTTCCCCATTTGAAGCTGTGGTAAAGAGTCGATTATTAAGGTGTTGGTTGCGTATCGATTATTTTCCATGGGTTTAAATGGGGAATCAATCGATACATCGCAAAGCACGCCACGCTACTGGCCAGGAGCGAGGGGTGAGCTACCATCTACGTTGAATGGCCAGAAAAACACCTTCACGGAGCAAAACACAGAAAAAATGATGAATGATATTTGAGGAAGGAGCGCGGCGCGGCGAGGCAGGAACTGTCCGACAATGAAGCGAGCAGCGTGGAAGGGGGCAGAGTCCCACGCTCAAACACCGCGAGTTGTCGAGTTGTCCTCTAAACGTTCCTTGCCCCACGAGTGGTCCACGGCTTGAGTTCAAATGAAATTGGAGCCCAATCTGACGCAGGGTCGGGAGTATTTTTCTTCGGTCCTGTACCCGCACCGAGTCGGGACGCTCATGCCACGGCTCTGATTTTTCGACTCATCGCGTAGGCAGTGCCCGAGACCCGAATTTGCTAGAATGGACCACTAGACAAGGTACGATTTTCAGCATTCTGATACATGTATCGTAACTAAGATTTCACGTAGAACACGATGCGAACAACAAAAATTACCGAAATTAAATACTTACGAAGATATTCAATGATTCTTGATGCGTGAATTCAAACCACTCGCTCATGAAAACTCAATGCTCCGCGTGATTCATATCGCGCGCTAAACGTTATCATGGCAGTCTCAGCGCTATAAAATTCTGACAACCTCAATCTTGACGCTTTGGATCAGCTGTAGCAAATTGCCTATAGTTTGAACAACACATGGTGGGAAATGAACATTGCTCGATTGAGAAGCTTGCTGACAACGTTGTAGTGCGCGATTTGACTCACGTAGAGCTTTGAGTTTCTTGTGAGCGGGCAGTTCAAATTCCTCGTCACCAATGTGAAATACAAATGTTAATATCTTCGTTAGGAGTTGGGTTCAGTAATTTTCGTTGTGTGAATCGTATTCTGCGTGAAATTCTGGTTAAGAAACATGTATCAGATTGCTCAAATTCAGACCTTGTCTAGTGGTCCATTCACGCCGCTACACGCTAGAGGGAACCATTCCGCCGCCCAAAAGCCCCGGATAGACGACCAAATTCCCGAACCAATTCCGATCGAAGTAGCATCAAAGTGTCGGGAGTCATCAGTCTTAAGCGCATTAATTTGCTTCATTTTAAAATGAAAACTTGGCGGAAATGTTTCCTGAGGCAGGAAAAGATGAATGGTGGCACTCCTTTCTGATCTTACTTTGAACAAAAAAGTGCGGCCCGTCAAAATTTGATGGTAGATGGTGACCACCAGTCATCAGCATGTCTACTTTGATCGGAATTGGTTCGGAATTTGATCGTCTATCCAGGGCTTAAGGAAAAACGCCGTGTGAACCTTCAGACGTTGCCAAATTTTCTCCGATAAATCACGAATTTTCAGGAAAATTTGTAAATGTTTATCTTTCAATTTTTCAGAGAATCTTGTTGGTGATTTGATCTAAAAGCTCTGAAAATTTCAAGGAAAAATATTCAGAACCATCTTTCGAAATAAATACTTTCTAGGAGGAAATTTGGCAACTCTCAAATGTTCATACGGCGTTCATCCTTAGCACGGCAGTATGGCCAGCCATTCGTCGTGTATTTTCCTATGGTATTTTCGAACGCAGCTCCTATCGTCAATTTTTATCAGGGTTGGAATTGAAACGGAAGGGATTTTGCGAAGTTCTTTCAGAATTTCTAGACGTTTGACCATAATCACGACCGCGGGAAGAGGAACGCTGCAGAACACTTAGTAGCAACAAACGTAGCGCTATTAGCTCCTCTATGCATATAGGTGTTTTTATGAACGAACCAGAAATTGTGGTTCCTTATTGTTGTAAAATGTGGTCAATTCGTAGCCCTCTTATCTGTCAGTCGGTTACGACAGCGTAGGAATGCATACGGCAACTCTGCACGCTGGTGCATTTCCGAAAGATCAGTAGCGAAGGAAGAGGGACAGAGGGGAGGAGGGGGAGGGTTGGATATGGTTCTTTGAGGCAACAAAGAGGGACGGGATTTCTAAAAAATGAGAAGAATGCAGTGACGATGGCCGAGCCCCATAACGGGCATACCTCCACTCCCGTGCTCCAGAAAAACGCCCTATGAGCCTTCAGGCATTGCCAAATTTCCTTTGGGAAATCACGAATTTTTGAGAAAATTTGTGAATATTTTTCCTCCAATTTTTCAGATAATTTTGTTTGCAATTACAGCTATTTCTGAAAATTTCAAGGAAAAATATCCATGACTTCCTCCAGAAATAAACACTTCATCGAAGGAAATTTGGCAACTATTGAATGCTCATGCGGCGTTTTTCCTTAGCACGGCAGAAGCAGACTTTAATCCAATTTCTTTCCTATCCGTCTCCATTGATTCTATTCATGTCTTCACCCGTTTGTTTCCGAAAGATTCTGGCTCATACTTTTGAAATTTGGAGCCTCGTCGCTAAGTCAGCTAAAATCTTGCGTTTTGCAAACGAGGAGTGCGTACGAACTGCAAATACTCGTCATCACCTAAAAAAAAGAACGCATCTCGATTTCGACGCAGCAAAATTTTCACCAATAAATTGCTTCATTTTTGCAGAAAAATGTCGGTCATTTCTAACTAAAAATCGTCGTTTCCTACGAGAAAAAACCTAACTATATTTCAATACTGTCAAATCTTCCCTCGCAGATATCAATGTCACAGGAGAATCTTAAGCGTTTCCAACAGAAAATTTCACTGGTTCTTCTGCTGATTTTCTACAAAAATCAGACATATTGTGTGCAAAAATTTCTCAGGGACCAACAATTTTGTAAAAAAGTGGATTGTTTGAGTAAATTGTGCAACCTTGGAATAGGGTTACATTTCCTCGTTCAGGAAACGAGAGAATGTGACCGATTTTTTTACTGATTGCACGCAAAAATTAGCCTGTTGGACAGATATTGCTTGGTCACATTTTTGAAATTGGTGGAGACAAGTTTTGAATCTCGAAGAGTTTTGTTCCATTGTATGTTAAGTGAACGCGACAAGCTATGATTGCTGCAAATGAAAACAGAACGCCTTGGATGTGGAGGTAATACAAACATCGTAGAACAATTTTAAATCTTAAAACTCATCGGACTAAATTCCTTTAAAATTTCATAAAATTCATTGTGACATTTTAAATTCTTATTTTTGATAGAATTTTCCATCTCAAACATGCCTGATTTGACTTAATTTTCCACAATACTATTGGCAATTGGCAGCATACTTTTCTCTTTTGATTAAACCAACTAGATAGTGCAGACCAGCTCTGGAAGCAACCCTCATTCCAAAAATTAAGTAAATGATTAAAAAAATAAAACTTGTACTGCTTATTTAAATAGTACCTACTTAGTGGATGAATTTGAAAGCATTGTGTGATACATGATAAGAGGTGCTTCATAGCTCATTGCTCGCAGACTTTTTCCCAGATGCAGCCATCCTTACCATTGAGCCTTGTCACTATCTGTACGGCATTGGTACACCACCCGCAAACAGTGAAACCAGTTGGCAATGGTTGAGATACTAATTCCAGTATCTGACTTGAGAATAATCTTTAGGGCTTTTTTAACATCCAAACCGAAGATGATCACTATGGAACGCACCACTTTTTCATCACGTTCCACTAGCGTGTTCCAGTGGAACGCTTGGACCACCTTTCCAAAGTGGGTTGAGGTTGGTTGAGGCCGCAGTTAGCCTGGTTGAACCAGCCCGAACCGCTACCATCGCGTTCCGCAGATAAAAAAAAGCCCTTTTTTCGTGATACTATGCATTCATCAATTCTTCATTTGAAAATAAATGTCTGGACAAGTTGGAAGTTGGGCTGGGAGAGCAGTCATTACGCTGAGCTAGAATGAGGAAAGAGAAGAATAGACAAATGTCACATCCAAAAATTGCACCATTCAACAGATATTTACATGCTAGCCAATGGGCAAACTGATGATTGATGTATTCGGACTGATGCGACTTCTGTCTATTCTCTTCTTTCCCCAGTTCTAATCAACAGGAACATAAAACCCATTTCAAAACTAACTCCAGGGCATCACATAGATAAATGGTAGGATCAGGAAAATTTGTACAGTCAAAAGGGCTGTGAAGTTAAGATCTACTTTCGACTTCCTTCTACAGAGTGTCACCTACCTAATGAAGATTAGAATAGGGCTTCCGACAAGAGATCAAGTTCGACTAGAACGTTACCTTTAGATCATGAAATTTCATAAAATCATTCATTTGTGCAATGGATAAATAAAACAAGAAAATGGAGAGTATTTAAATGCCAAGAATGGTCTGATCACAAATTATCAAAACCAAGGAACCTAAACGTAAGAAGGTACGAAACTGAAAACAAATGAGGCAGAAACATTCAGTGAGCAACAAGTGTCCAAACATTCACAATGCCGGTGTTTGAGCCCTCATGTAGATAGGAAACTCACGAGTAGCAAAAAGAAGCTGGCTGTACGATGCGATCTACGCTAAATAATATTTAAATATATGATTATAAAAACTAACCAGGAGAATCACTGGTGAGATCGTTCAGCTTTACCACATGGGTGCATTCGTTATCCAAAGCATAGCAGAACTCGCGAATGATATCCACACTTTTTTCCGACAGTAATCTAATGAAAATATCGCACTTCACATCATCATCATCCTCACTCAACACTAGATTTTCTTCGGCAGCCGTAAACACTTGATTTTTCACTAACTCCGACAGAATATTCGTAGAATTTAACTCGCGAATTAAACTATTTTTATGTTTACAGAGCAATGTGTACGCATCGCTCAAACCCGCCATTACTGCGAGCAGAGGTTAGAGAAGCGAGCTGATCAAAACAAAACCTGCCGCGCTCCATTGGAGGGGAGTGGGAGATACCCCCCACTCCAAAGCTCCGTTCATTCATGACAAAATTAAACGGCAAACTTTACGCTTTACGTTATGTGGTAAGAATGTAGTACTACGCTCCCGCTATCACCTGACAAATTATTGGGAATGATCTTTGAGGTGGTCGACGCTCGACCGTGTTGGACAGAATGGATCCTGGCATTCCTGGCGCAGTTGGCCACTGTTTAATACATTGAGGATTCGCTATTTTTCTGGGAAGGCTGAAAGTTTAATCAGCTTTTATCAGAGAGTATGAGAGGGAACAACGTCAAAATTAAGATAGGTATCCATTCTGATGCTGCTTTTCCCAGCAATTAACCTGTCACCGCAGGAATTTTGAAGGATTTTGAGCATGAGGGAATTTTTAAAAACTGCACACATCGTACATTGATAATGAGTCTTGTGACTAAAAAAAGGACCTCATAAGGGTGGGGGGGGGGATCCCTTCAGTGGCGTAGGAAGGGGGGGGCCAGGGGGGGCTGGCCCCCCCAAAATTGGAAATAGTATCATCTGGCCCCCCCCAGAAATTCTGGATGGTGCAAAAACACATAGTTGGTCATAGTTACGTCTTGCTCATTATATTATATTTTACTTTGCATGGGCTTTTCCTAATACAGAACAATGATTCTGGCATTCACTAAACATTTATTTCGCAATTTTCACACAAATGAGTGGTTAAAAGTGAGAAAATAAATGGAATAACCTGTTGAATGCAACAATTTCAAAGTATTTTAACCTTAAAATGCATAAAACTGGGTGAATTTTATGCAGAAATTGAAGGAAGATTAACGCCACAAGTGCCTCGAGATGCGCTCAAATAGAGTTAAAATTTCAAAAATTTTCCGGGGGAGGCCCCCCGGACCCCCCACTGACCTGGGGGGTATTCCATACCCCCCAGACCCCCCGGTGGTGGGGGGCCAGGCCCCCCCCAGCAAAATGGCCTAGCTACGCCTATGGATCCCTTAGAAATCTTCTTGGTCCCCGTCAGAAAATATAATATGAATTTTTTTTGTTTAATAAATTGAGACATATCTTTAAACTTTATTTCAATCAACTTCTCAATAATTTTTTCTGAAATTTTAATTTTAAATTTTGTCTTGTGATATGCCCTTCCCCTCTCGCAAAAAGTTCTCTGGTGATAAAAAAGTTTGGGATGATATCCCTAAAAACACCTATATGACCTTAAAACACATTTTTCAGAAATTCTTAAGGAAACTGTTAAAATTTTCATATTAGGAAACTCTTTTCCGCAAGTTTTTTAAGTAAAATTTACTAGAAATATAATTAAAGTAAAATGTGTTTAAAAGAACTCTTGAAATATCAATGTAATTTTTTAACATTTTTTCAAACATTTTTAGAGTTGAAAAACTACAGTTGATATTATAAGAGTATTTTTAACCCTTTTTACTTAAATTTTCCATCTTGTACATTTTACTTGAAAAAAAAAAAATAGCCAAAACGGGTTTCCTAACACAGACACCTAAACTGTTTTCTTCAGCGTTATGGCTATTTAAAATTTAGAGCTCTTAAAAGTTCTTTTAATAGTCGTTGCTACTGGGAAGACCTGAAAATTATCAACAAAAAAAGAATGAGCAGAACAACTACAGAATAGAATAAATTCAACAACATTTTATTGGAGGCAATTACACATTCACAGTTTATTCTGCAAAATCAGACTTCTGAGCAGTAAATTTAGTTTAACCTTCGGTTCATTGAGTACTAAAATCGCTCTCACCAAAAGCCTCTAAGAGGCTTTGCAAATTACCTAATCAGAAAAATGAGAAAACAGGGAAGTAAATGTAAGTATGTGATGCAACTTAAATGTATTTCAGAGCATATAAATGAATGCTTAATGGAATAAATTTCTTGATAAAACAGGTGTAGTAAAAACAAAAAATATAAAGGAAGGTAAGTATAATTTTAGGGAAAAAAATCACGAGGAAAAAAAAGAAAGCAAGGTAAGTAGGTAGTTACTTAGTTATTAAACAGCTCCCTGCACATGATTAGACTGTAAAAAGACTTCCAAGGAAGCTAGAATGGAATGTGTCAGAACTGATTTTTAAAATTTCGTACGTAGAGAGAGTCAGATTGGTTTTGTTAAATTTTAAATTTTTGTATCTTGTTTGAGGCAGGCGGCAGGTTAATAAAGAGAGCTAAAAAGAAAGGTATTATTCTTTAGAATAAGGCTTACTATTAGAGAATCTTGAAAAATAACTGTCTTTTAGACTTCAACAAAAAGTGCCATTTATTCCTCCCTACAATTTGAATTTTACTAGCATATTTTCACTAGACCTTCCAGAATCTTCCACTTTAAGACTTCAAAGTTAACCCATACTTTGGAGTAAAAATAATACTAATAAAGAATTTTAGGGTGAGTATGGATTCACGCACTAACAACTTGTGCCTAAGTTTATGAGCCGATTAAATGTGAAAGACAGAGAAAAAAAATCAATGATTAGTTTATCTTACAAGGCTACTATAATTTATTCATTTTCAAATTCCCTGACTTTGCCTGATTCTTCCCTGACTGTTTTTGCTTTTTCCTGACTCTGAAATTTTCTAATTCCCTGACCTTTGAACAAAATTATTTATACACACTAACTTCCGCTAAAGGACAAAATTCCTTGGTTACTTAGAGATCACATTATAGAAAAATGCATTAAACAGATAGATAAAAGATGGTAAGCCTTAAACATGACAAGAAAAGGTGAGCAGCTGGAAGATCCGTGATTAGTAGATGTGTTAGAAAATCCCGGACTTTTCCTGGTCCTCACAAATTCCCTGACTTTTCCGGTTTTCCGGGTCGCTGGCAACCCTGTTTTATTGTGAAAGCAGTGAAAATATGTTTTCAAAATAAACCACAAAAATAAATTCTAGAAAATAACATAATTCCTCTTTCCATTTACTTCCCTTGGAATTCGAGAAAAGAAACTAAGTAGAATTATTTTCAAAGATACAAATACAGCTTCAAAAATATACTTTACGATTGGAACTGTGAGTCCATTCAGTCTGATTCTTAGATAGAATAATGCGTTATTATTTGAAAAATCTTAGGATATGAATTTACAAAAAGCAATTTACAAAGTGAGTAAAGCAATGTTCATAATTGCAAGAATTAAACTAAAGTAATACAATAAATAAGGACAACTCAATCGGTTGATATTATGCATATTTTGTAGGGAAAGGACATACCTTTCACTCTAAGTGCCTGAAAATTTCCACCTTAATCCTGATTTCTTTTTCTTTCACCATGCATCGATAAATGCATAAAATTTGTAGTGAGTCTGTCTGTTTGCAGCAGTTTTTTTTTCTCCATCAGGTCGACCACTGGACAGATTTTCCTGCATTTGGGGGAGCGCAAAACAACTGCCCAAAGGACAGTTATTTTTTAATTCCTGGCAAAGAATTTTACCGCAATTGGTAATCTGCATCTTCTTATTAAAATCTATAGTTCAAGTTAATCAAAAATACTGCTGTAGCTGCTTGAGCAATGGAGAATATGGAAAAATCTGATGAGTAAAGACAATTGAAATCTGAGATTAGAATTACATACTTATCAAGCGACTGAATGGCGATGGTATATTAATGGTGCTTTTGGAATACAGCAATGAACTTAGAGAGAAAGGTGCTTTTTGCTGGAGATGCTACTTACAAGGACTCAGTAACAAAGAATTTTCACTTACAATTCAGTCTTAAATACACAACTGTTCAGCCTTGTAAGAAGAAAACATACAAATTAGATTCATGAAAAACTTTGAATAAGATATGGCGTTTGAAAGGTGGATGAAGAGCCTAAATGTTAAACACAGACAAGATTTAAGGACTGTCAATGAGATACACAAGTTTGACTTTTTTTTCTAAGAGAAGTATTCATTTGCTTTTTAAAAGTATCATTTAACATACACATCTAAACTCATTGGTGCGTTTTTCTGATTTTCCTACAAAAAAAAATATTAAGTTTTTCATTCAATGTCAGCAATATTCTAGCGTTTTTACAGAAGCTTATCCAAAAAAGATAAGAAAAATTGCTCTACACATCGGTTTCCATTTGAAATCAAAGATAGGAACGATAAATATGACTGAATTTGAAAGAATTTCTGTCCGAGAACAAAACTGTTTTCAATATCTGATGGTATAAAATTTAAGAAGCTAATTCACGCTGTTTTCGTTTGATGCGAGCATATGGACCAATATCCGGATCCATCACAAAGTCATAGAGAACTGAGACCCATGAATGGTGCTGAGGAATGGTATCATAAAATTCAGGAGCAATTTTTTTCACCTGAAAAAAGAGAAAAAAGGGCTTGAATGATTACAATTTTTTAGACACTGTGTGCCTAAGCAGTCAGAGACAGCTGAAATAGAGGTTGTTCAGAGAAAATGTAAAAAACCAAAGATAAGAAATGAATGATAATCATAAAATAAAATATACGTTGGTTTCAAAAGTAAGCTTTCATGTTTTTTAATCTTGTTCACTAAAACAAATGGAGCTACATTAGGTGTCCAAAAGATACCCAAATTAATTTTGTAATGGGCCTGTTGCAAACTTTTGCTAGAGCAGAATGAAGAGTTGTTTCCTATAGATAATGCCTCAAAAATCACGATGAGCGCATCGGCAAAGTCTGAAATGCACTCATAACTTCACAATCTGCGTAAGAAATTTGCGTTATTTTGAGCTTCCCGCTTCAAAAACGATACTACTGCACAGGTGAACATTTTGTTAGAGGAGTCGCTCCATCGTCGGCAATATTCATCATGGCCGACGCTTGCGCAGTTCCTCGCGTAATTCGAGGAGAGTTCAAGGTCAATTAAGGCGGGCGAGGAAAATATGAACGTAAACACGCCGATTGTCATATGGTTTAATCCTGTTCAAGTGTTATCTCGTCCCATCACACGTGTTTTGGCGGACTGGCGTCGGCCATGATGAGTATTGTCGCCAATGGAACGACTCCTCTAACAAAATGTTCACCTGTACCGTAGTATCGTTTTCAAAGCGGGAAGCTCAAAAAACCGCAAATTTTTTACGCAGATTGTGAAGTTATGAGTGCATTTCAGACTTTGCCGATGCGCTCATCGTGATTTTTGAGGCATTATCTGTAGGAAACAACTCTTAGTTTTGCTCTAGCAAAAGTTTGCAACAGGCCCATTCAAATAGCTAAAGGCTTAGTTTTGACTCTTTAAGAGGTTAACTCAAAAGCCACTGATTGAGTCAAAGATCAATGCATTTGGTCAGAAACTAACAAAAGTATAATAGTTCAGCTAAAGCAGCATTCCAGACTACCTACCTTTTTTAACGAAACATTATACTCTTGTCAAATGTAGTCTCTAAAATTACTGTCATCAGCATGTTTTCACATGACACAACCCAAGGGAGCAAACATTACATGGTAATAGTGTCCAGACAGAACAGTCATGACAGACAATGATGAACTTTGTCGGACAGAAACATCAACCCACCCGATTGCCTATTGGATGATGAATCACAGTGCATGAGTGGTCTATGTTGCACCTGGAGACCTTTTTTGGATTCGCTTTTGTCAACATTTTTAGATCAAGTCATAGAGAGAGACATAGAGGTGAACAAAGAGCAACATTTTGTACATTCTTTGATATTGTGTTAGAAGTGAGTTATCAGCTGTGACCATATATGAATGAGATAAAAGATGTGTGAAATGAGAAAACATGTGATGAAATAACACATGCATTTAAGCCGAACCACAATTTTGATCGACATAAACGATTCAAAGATCTTAAGCCGACTACAGTGTTTCTAAAGTTTTGTTGTCTTTCTTTGATTACAGAAGAATTCTTAACGCAGTCAATGTAATTATTCCGGGAAAAGACATTTATTCCGTTCGCTGCTCTGAAGAAATATTTACAAGACATTGGCAAGCAGTCCCAGTTTTCATTTGACTTAAACTACCATGACCAATTAACTACCAATTTTTGACCAAATGACAAGATCTTAGCTTAAATCTTTAGTTTTCTAGATTTTAGCTTACTTTTTGAATTACAGAGCCGGTTTAAGTGCTTTTTAATAAGCTTTGCACTTGTTTTTTGGTTTTTTGACAAGCTACTGATATTAAACTTTATTCAGAGGTTGCAAAGCAAATCGCGTTTTGCTGAATGTTTCTCAAAACTTTTCATCCTTAAAATATTGTACCTACTAATTCTATTTTTCAAAAAACAGAAGATAGATTAACACCAAGAAAAAATGATCTCAATGGACCACTAGACAAGGTACGAATTTCTGCATTCTGATACATGTTTCTTAACCAAAATTTCACGTAAAATGCGATCGCACAGCAAAAATTACCGAAATCAACTCATTACGAAGATATTTAATGATTCTTGATGCGTGAATTCAAACCACCCGCTCATGAAAACTCAATGCTCTACGCGATTCACATCGCGCGCTAAACGTTTATCATGATAGTCTCTGCGATATAAAAATCTGAAAACCTCAATTTTGATGGTTTGGCTCAGCTATAGCAAATTTCTTGTGGTTTGAACAACACATGATGGGAAATGAACATTGTTCGATTGAGAAGCTTGCTGAAATCGTTGTAGTGCGCGATTTGACTCAAGTAGAGCTTTGAGTTTCTTGTGAGTGGGCAGTGCAAATTCCTATTAACCAATGTGAAATAAAAGCGTCAATATATTCGTTAGGAGTTGGTTTCGGTCATTTTCGTTGCACAAATCGTGTTCTACGTGAAACTCTGGTAAAGAAACATGTATCAGATTGCTTAAATTCGTATCTTGTCTAGTAGTCCATTCCAAATTCAGTTTTCAGCCCAACTTTTTACACATTTGAGTGGGTACTCAGTGCATCAGACTTTTTCACTGTACAGACTATGATCAAATATGGATGGAGTTAAACAGAAAGGAACCAAGCCACATCGGGATCGAACCGAGAAAGAGAGGTTTAAAGTTTGGCTCCTGCATAAGACTCTATGTGAAAGATAAACTTCAAGTTGAATTTCTGCAAAATTTGCTCCAACAAAAACTTTGAATTTTTGGCGATAGATAGTAGAGCAGTGGTTGAGTTCAAAACCACTCATGACTCAATTTTTTCCAAAATGTGGGTTGGTTCCTTTCTGCTTAACTCAGTCCATATTGCATTGTATATCCTAAATTGATGTCAAGGCTTGAAGCGAAAAGGACAAGATTGACCATCACACTCAGAGCTATCGCTTAAAACTAGGCAAGCAGTAGTTTCATAATTGTTACCAGTTCATTTAATGCCTTTAAGACAGTGATTCAGCTTGAAATTCAATTTCACTGATAGAAGAATAATAAAAGAATAACCTGGTCATCTGATACAACAAAAGGGATAAAAACCACTAATTACCTCTGGCAGTCTAGAGCCAGGAATGGCCGGAAAGTCATGGTGCTCATTGTGGTATCCTACATTGAATGTGACTCTATTCAGCGGGCCGTAGTAGGAGTAAGTCTCGAAACCCTTCTTGAACATGTAGTGCTCTGATACAAAGTGTCCTGCCACTGGATGAAGTCCCATTGCCATTACTGATCCCAACAACATGTATGCTAACATTTTTCCACCTGAAATACATTTTATGGTCTTAGCACATGACTGTAGGAAAGTTAAGAAGGAAAAAATAAAAGGTAAAAAAGTTTAAAACGTTTTAAGGTGTGGTAAAAGGAAGACCCGTTTTTTCTTTTTTAGTAAAATGATCTTTTCTATAAATTTAGCATGTTTATTAGGTTACGGCATTAACGAGGGTAATCCCAAAAGTCTTCACGTTTTGCTCTCATTTCAAAAGTATTAGAGATAGGGAAAATCAGATTAGATGCGCATATGAGGCTTACTTTCAGCTTTAATTTAAGTTCAAGTTTTTAAAAATTCGATGATCAGGACGCTCAGGAGGTCATTTCTCCCACGCCGCCTTTGATGCGCAAGATAAGCCAGCTTTAATGGAGCCCACCAGGCACGAATTTTTATAAATTCAATCATTTATGAACAATTTGATGCAAGACAGATCGAGAAATAACAGACAAATATTCGAGCATTTGTTTAAGTGCCATCTTCGCGGGTAAAAGCGTCGACTCATCGCACTAAGTCACTATCGATCACACTTGGCCTGCCATCTCGGGCTTCACTTCTGTTCTTCTTTGTTAAACGATTGGCTCAACCTCCGGACATTTCCATCTCTCATCGCATTTTCCCTGTAAACTGCTTGAAGTATGAGAATAAAGTCACATGGCCTAGCACCTTCCAAAGTCAAAAAATGAAATTACTGACCGAACTTCACAGTTCTCTGGCTTTGAAAGTGCCATAACTTTACAACTAACTTTACACGATGAGCTTGCACGAATGTTGAAAGAACACTGACTGCAGTCATCATCAAAGGCCTAAAAAACAGCATGCTAAACAGAGTAACAACCTAGTGAAAAATATTGATAAGGATTTCAATGTGATCGGATCAGATTGGCTGTAATCGTCCACACATTTTACTTGTCACGGATACAGTGTGCTTGGAGCTGGCAGGAAACGCATTGAAGGCGGCGCAAGAGAAATGACATCCTGAGCGTCCTGTTCATCCAGTTTTTAAAAACTTGGGCTTAAATTAAAGCGGAAAGAATGCCTCATGTGCACATTTAATCGGATTTTTCCTATCTTTAATAGCATTGAAATGAGAGAAAAACGCGCAAGACCTTTGGGATTACCCTCGTAGTTCTTCAGCGATTATAAACACTGGAAGAATTCCTTGCTACCGTGATGATTTGAGATTAGATATTGTCTTTATGAAGCGGATACACAAATTTGTAGTCTGGTCACTCTCTCTCAATGTGTCGACACAACCCTTTCAACATATTGTAGTAGTATTTACTGGTGCTGGTACTTTTTTGAGGTAGATAATGCTTTTTGGCTATTGGAACATTAGTTCACAAAATCAAAAATTACTTGAAAATCCTGAGGCTGTTTTCTTCACAAATCTCAAAAAAAACAAAAAAAACAAAAAAGAAAGAAAAGAAATTGCCGTGACTCAGTGATTTCACAAGCAAATGATCTCATCTCCTCATCATTGGAAAGCTACAGATATGAGATGAACCTTGAGCAAACCCCACTTCATTATCTAATGCAGAACTTAATATACAGCCTTCCTCTCAATCTTTTTGGGACAACCTTTATTGTATTAGTAGAATGCTTGTCTCCAAGTCCAAACTGAGGTGTGCTTACAAATATTGAATATGCTCTGAGATTTTTAAAACATGTACCACAGTAGCTCTAAATTTTGTGATTTTATTGTTGTTCTTTTTGTTTCTGTTTTCTGACTTACCTAAATAATAATACACAAGAAAATTGACTGTCAATTGAATGACAACATTCACAGCTTCCAACAAAGTAGGTTTTTTTGGTTTCACCGCCATTGGTCGAAAGGCATAGAAAAAAGGTTGAAGAGCAAGCCATACAAATTTTCCAAATGTTGTGCAAAATAATTTAGCCTCAAGAGATGTAGGAATGTCCGTATCAACTTGGTCTTGACCTTGATACTGAAACAAAATTTGAGTGAAAATCAATCTAAATTTTATTTGAAAAAAAACGAGCCAAAAATAGAATTAAAAATACTGATTGGCGACTGTAAAAACAAAATTGAAAGATTTTTAGGAGGAAAAAAAGGAGGAATTCTTAATTAGTCCATAGAGTGTGATCGACTCATGATCAGGCAAAAATCTTCAATATTCAGAAAATAAAAGAAAAAAACAAATTTGATTCAATGGGACTAAACATTCAATAGGACAATGGGTGAGAAGAATTGTTTCCCCAGACATGGGAGACAAGTGTCGTATTTAGTTCCCTAAGCTGATATCGATGGTGTCAGTCGGCAATCACATAACTTGTTTGCAGCGTCTGAAAATCTCCGTCTCTATGATATTTTTTTAAAAGGAGAACAAATTGAGATCATTCCTTGAAGTTTATGCAGAATTTTCTTGGCACAGAGAGGAAGAATCACGGCAGTTTTAAAGAATTGCCATTGAGTAGTTTTTCGTTTAAAAAATAAAATATGACAGGAAGTCTGCAACATCGCAAACCGAGTTATATGATTGCCGACTTACACCGTCGATATGCATTAGCGTATTTATAAGAAAGAATATCAAATGCATTAATAAAATGCAAAAACAGGGGCATCAAAGCTTTTGCATGAGCTGTCTCAATTTTCATGAAACAATGAAATGTCTCAGTTTACCATGCCAACTGATGTTTATGAGTGGCCAACAACAGAGGTACTGCCACTGAACATCCGATGTTCATGGGCCGTTGCAGGCACAATCTCTATCCAGTAAATCATGATCTCCAAAACCAAAGTGTTAAAATTGATAATTTGTCAAAAAGTCATGCATAACTCAATGAAAGAAATAAAATATACTCACTCGATGATGCTCAAGGTGATAAAATTTAAAGGTAATGGCAAAAGGCAATCCAATGGGAAAATTTGCAAACAGCGATAGGATTCGATTTGCCATCGGCCGTGAATAACCAAAGGCTAAATTGTGAGCCATTTCATGAATTGCTGTAGAAAGAGGAAAGTTAAAGGTTAGATTAAAATAAACCAGAGACAAAAGGGAATTTTTCTTCTCCATAAGTAATTTCAAGCAAAGTACTTTATTATCTCACTTTTTCTCAAGTTTTGGCATAAAAACCTGCGGGCACCTCTTGAGTTGCTCACAGTTTGTTGTCAATTCCACCCAACAAGGACAAAAAAGAGAATGTGACAAAGCCAGTTAATCATTTGAATCCATTTCATCTTACTTTTTAGTCTTGTTTTGTCGAGATACACCTGATGGCGAGTGGCTCTATGCAGAAAGTCAGCCGAATAGAAAGTAACCTTGGAACTTGTAAACTTACTTGCTCCAGTACAAGATGCGATTAAAAAAGGGAAAAACTCCGAGATATTTTTCAAGGATTATTGGCAAGTTAAACTTGAATACAACTGGATTTCATACCAGGATTATGTACTTCAAATTACATCTGAGGAGATGTTGATTCACCAGAACTCTAAGGAAAGTCCCTTAAAACTACTCTGAGTCCCAGACCGTTGCTTGAGGGAGTGGGAGCCAAACCTTTTGCAGAGATATGCTAAACCTAGACGTCTCTGATTTTGAAAATATAGATCCATCTTTAAATCAACTTGAGAATGTGAAAATGGCGAAACTTACCTAACATGAGGGCATGGTTAATTACCCCTCCAAAGCAGTATGCAAGAATCAGAACAAAGGTCCAAGATTTGTCCTTAATAAGATACATTGTCACGAACTGAAGAAAGACTAGAAAAATGACTTGATATTTGAACATGGGATCATAACCGAACAACTTCTTGATTTGTGGATACTTGGCTGTAAACAATCGAAAGACAAAAGAGTTATTAAAAACAGGCTGCTGATGCAAATATTAGAACAGGAGCTTACATTTACATCATTGTGGGGTGAAAATTTGTTCTTAATTTTCATACCAGCATCAAATTCATCGATACAGCTTAGATTTTCTTTGGAAAATTCCATCTGAAAATATCGGCTAACATTTTTGTAACTGTTGTTTATAACACATGAGGAAAATTCACATCAACATGAATGCATCAATTATCAGACGGCCCATTCCTTATCAGATAAATTTCTGTTAAGGTGATTCGATGGACGCCATATTTTGTGTCAGAACGGCATGCGATATATCGCACCAATTGGTTCCATTTTTTCAGCTACTCGTCATTTTTCTCCAATTTTGAGATCGAAATTCTGTTGTCAGGAGACTAAAGCACTTACTTACCAATTTTAACAAGAAAATTCAACGTAATAAAGGCGCAGTTTTCTTAGAGAGAAATTATCGCATTCGAGTGCAGTTTCGATATCAGTATTGAATGCGATGTTTTCTCTCTAACAAAACCACGCCTTTATTACGTTGAATTTCTTTGTTAAAATTGGTGAGTACTTTAGTCTCCTGACAACAGAATTGTGACCTCAAAATTGGAGAAAAATGACGAGTGGCTGAAAAAATTGAACCAATTGATGCGATATATCGCATGCCGTTCTGACACAAAATATGGCGTCCATCGAATCACCTTAAGTAAATGGTGCCATTTCGTGATGTGATGTAGATATGTCCAATCTTTTCTTTTCCCAGTTCTGATATCTTGGGCTAGCAGAAGACTACTTACTTTTAGTAAATTTGCGGTACTAGGTAACAAAACTAGATTTGATCGATGTTGGGAAAACTTCAAAGTGAAACCATACTACAAAATTCCATTTTCAACTATTTTGGACACAGGTTCGCTCATTGACGAATAGAGAGAGATGATGCCATATTAACGAACAAGATATACTAAAATGCAGTGTCCTACAAAGTTACCATTTCTTACTTTGTGGGTATAATTTGGCGAGAGAATTATACTTACTGAACAGAGGAAATATAAGCAATGGCTAGTACAACTACTCAATCCTGCAAATGTAATCGACTTGAATCATGGAACAAATGCAACTTCAGATAATACAGTTTAATAGGCATATAATTAATTTTGTCTCACAGTTTTGCGTTTGAACATTTGTCATATGATTTAAAACCACATACTTATCACCTTAGTCATACGCAATCACCATGTTTACAACAACTTGTTTAACCGGAAAACCTAAAAATCCTTCTTCAAAACTCAATCAACTTAGGAATCAGAGTTCAGAAGACCGAATTAAACTCCAGCTGGCTTCGTTCTTGCAATACGGCACTTCATACTCTATGTTCCATATCAACAGCAAAAGTCCGCAATCACATATTTCGTTAGCGGTGTCTGAAAATTTCCGCCTCTACGTTATTTCTTTGACAGAGGACAACAAATTTACATCATTCCTTGAAGTTGACACAGAATTTTCTTTGCACAGGGAAGAAAAATCATGGCAGTTTTAGAGAATTGCTGTTGAATAGTTTTCCGTTGAAAAAATAAAGTATGACAGGAAGTCTGCGACTTTGAAAACCGAGTTAGGTGATTGCCAACTTACACTGTTGTTGTGCGAATATGTTGCCTTCCCTACTTAGACAGGAATCAGTCAACTGTGGGGGAGACAGTAAACGAGACAAAAATTCTAATGGGTGATGAAAAATTTGGTTGACTGAGGACAGACACCCTTCATTTAATTTACGTCTACAGCTTCATAACGTTGATTACATAATAACACTGTCCTGTTGTTTCGGCTGATATCTTCGGTGGGAAAGTAGAATTGATACGTACAAAGGAGAGGTCATTCGAATGTCGGAACCTCATCAAAGTTAACTCACCTAAAATTATTTTTCTGCGGCTTGCATGGGGTTCTTCGTTATGGGACCATTCAAAATCCTCTCGGGAGACATGGGCCCCCATGATTTACTTTTGATGGTTACAATGTTGAGCCAGCTGAGAAAACACCTAATTCGAGAAGGGAAAAAATAAAATGATCACTAAACAAATGACTAATTCAAGCTGTTTATCATTTAACCGGTTGATAAGAATCTATAAAAATTTTCCCGACACTGACAGCACAGCGCCCTAATATAAACATAACCTCACTTCAAGAAAACCCGGTTGTTTTCAAAGGCGGCAAATTTTGAAATGTTGGCGTGTTGACCGAATCAATAATGAATCCCCTCTTGTTGTTTCTAACACGCTTCTTGGAACTTTGGGAGAAAATTGTTGGAACGGTCAAGCATAATTATATAAGCCAATGAAATTCTTAAATTTTTAAAGCCGTGGCAGCCAGCGCAAAACACGCATTGGCGCCTACAAACCTAACAGGGATACTTCACGTGTTGCGCAATGCGTGAAGTATCCCTGTTAGGTTTGTAGGCGCCAGTGCGTCGCCGCTCCGCTTTGTGTTACGCTCTAATATTTAATCTGGCGGAGTCAGCGTTATTCAACTCATGATTTTGATGTTTGCACATCCTGTATGGATTATGCTCATTTCAATTGGTGAAAACAAATAAATGTATTAAAGGAAAATATAACGTGTGTTTTGTAAATATTAAGTTGGTTCCGTATCAAACTGAATGATTTCCAAAGCACACGAATGTCTACACAATTTCTTATAGCCAGACGAAAAAATGTAAAGCCCGGCGATAGGAACTAAAGCCCGGCTGCATAATTTTTTATCGCTTCGTATAGCCCGGCTGTATGATTTTCTCCGCAATCTACAACCAACTATATGATTTTCTGTAGCCTTCTTTAGCCGGCTATAAGAATTCCTATGGTATTTTGAAACGCAGCTCCTATCGCCAATTTTTACCAGGGTTTACAAGGTGTTCAGTAAGAAATGTAGAAATGAAGAGGAAGGAATACATATATATTTATAAATGCACCAGAGATCTAAAACAGGATACACGAGGTCCCATTTAAGAATCATTTTGTTGGCAATGACAATGTTTTGAGACGTCACCGAGAAATTGGAGCAATTTGCAAGATTAAACACAAAAATGTTTTAATGGAATTCACATTGGTTGGTTTCTTTTGGCTCCCTTCTTGAATCCCAAGTTTTTAGCGAACAAGTTGCAGTTACATTTTAATGATATTTTCATTAACCTTTAAATGCTGAAGCCCGGTCAAATTGACAGGAGACTTGTTTAAAAAATGTGCCACGCGCGTTGTAAAGGATCGCGGTACATAAGAGCCGTAGATGTAGTTTTGTAGATACATTTTAAAAAAATCAAATTTCAAATTGAAAAAAGAAGAAAAAATTAAGGAACAACAGAGTCGAGACTTAATCGGGACTCATAGAGAAAAAAAAGGAGGTGTTTGCATCTTGAGGTTTGATTACCCTGTGACGTAGGTCGGTACCACCTGGCCAGCGAAATCCGGAATTCGAAATATGAAAAACGGACCATAATGTCCGATTTTTTTTTTACTTAAATCAACTCATGATATAATTTCAAACACTTTTTATGGGATGACTCTTTTCCATAAATTACACCATTTCCAAGAAAATCGATGATAAACGTCGCTGTACCGACCTACGTTATAAAAAAAATTCCAAGATGAGTGAAATGCAAACACCTCCTTTTTTTTCTCTATGATCGGGACGAGTTTTTTTAAAGTAAGTCTCTCGAATCTGAGCGACACCTCACTGACAACATAGAACGGAGCATTGCGGGTACACGCCTAGCGCCATCACGCCTTCAATTTTGCAGATGCAACACGGACATCCATCATGTACGAATAGTTGTATCTCTGCGCCGTTACCAACGCGCTTCCTTTTACTTTGCTCTATTTCCATGCTGTGCTTGTCTCAGTTTGTCCTATTTGTATTTGTTGCGGTGCTTAAAAGGATGTATGAGCAACACAGCCATAAATAGAAGAACCGCAATAATCGAGCCTCGTTTCTTAATTTTCTCACGACACCTCATTGGCAACATAAAGCGGAGCTGCAGAACATCACAAATTCACAGCTCGCGCCATCGCGTCTTCAATTTTACAGATGCATCACGGACATCCATCACGTACGAATAGTTGTATCTCTGCGCCGTCTTTCCATTTGCTCTATTTCCATACTGTGTTAGTTTCGTTGGTCTCATTTGTAGTGGTGCTTTCAAGGACTACGTGAGCAACAAAGCCGAAAATAGGAGGTGCCCTAATCAATTATCATTTTGAAAAGAGGAAAATGTTAGAGGTCTCTCAAGCGATTAAAAGGGCGCACGTCTAAAAACTGACTGTAGTGCCTCTCCTGAGAGAGTGACACATGGAGGATTAGGAAGGGAAGGGGGTTGATAAAGCGTCTCTATGTTACCAAAAAGGTAGAAATTTCGAAGAATAGAATTTTTTATCCATCTTGGTAATTTTACGTATAGGTACTTTGACACTTGACAAAATCTCGAGAGCTATTTTGATTTCCTCGCTTACAGAAGCTCACCATCCCCTTTTCGGAAACTATGATCGAGAAGAATACTCAACGCCTCAAAGCTAAATTTACGACGGAGAGTGACCAATTTTTCGCGTAACAGCGAAATCTAAGAGCGTAATAGCGGAAGTTGGCACACTTTATTTAATCGAATGACTGCTAGTAAGTGAAATAATTGTCATTAATTACAGCTTGATTTAACCAGTATATCAAAATGTTTCACATTCTCCGCTTCAAAATATTGAGCTACGGGTACAAAATCAGAAATTCGGAACTCAACAAATAAAAAAAGAAATAAAAAAAAAAAAAAATAATAATAAAAAACAACAACAACATCAATTATCCAGCATTTTTATAGGTCCAGACGCTTTTGGGGACTTTTCCGGTTTCTGGTCCCAGGACCTCCATGCACCACCATCATTCGTACGAGGACCTTACTTTACTCTTACTTTATAATCTCCCGTTTATTTATGAATCACTCGCATTTTTTCTCGGTTATAAAATTTCTCTCATCTTATTTTGCTATATCTGGCAGAGAGGCGCGTCTTTGACGCGTCAGGGTGGCGTATCTGCCAATAGGAGATTGGCCTTATGACCAATCCGACTCTGGAGGAAAAGCGGAAACGAGGGGGCCTGCAGTCCTGCACATACCCCCCCCCCCCNCCCAGAAATCTACTGGGTTCCTCCTTAAATATGTGAGGGATTTTGCTGGGCAAGTGCGTGAAATCATCTATCATCTTGGAAATGTGAATTGAATCAATTTTTTCGAGTGCAGCTCAAAATTACCTCTCTTGAGACGACTCCCTTTTTCAAAATTTTCTGGGAGGGGGGGCCTTTGGACTCCCCTTTGCGAAGGTAGGAAAATCCCCCACGAGACCGGTCTTAGGGGCTGGGGGAGTCCCGGTGCCTACCCCTCAGTGGGGTGCCTTTTTGTTCTCCCCTCTGGTCCCCATTGATGCGGTGCCTTTCTGCCCCCCCCCCCATTGGAACGAGGAACGAATCCATGCTACCCTAACTTTTAAAGAGGACAGAAGTCGCTTTAATGAAAAATTCCTCTTTTTCGAGATGATTAAAATCGTTGACAGTGGCGCGGGACGTTCTGAGCCACATTTCCTCCTACCATTCATTTTTTGTCAGGACAGTATGGACGCAGAACTGTTTTAGCGAAGTTCGCGGAAATTCGGCATGAGTTTGCGGCTATCTGTGATCAGTCGCGCTTCGCTTGGTTAGGTAATGCTCATAATGAAGGCAAAATCTGGAATGACCATTATTTCGAAGGCCAATCACAGACATGATGAAAATGTCATCATGGCTAATAGGCCAACAGATAAGGGCACTGCGTTACTTTATTTCTCCCCTATCTTTTATTTTTATTTTTTTGTTTAACATAATTACATTTATATTTTTTGGGTGGGGGAGGGTTGCGCTTTACATTCGCAATAATTCGCATACATTAAGTGACATAATCGATTTTCTGAAAACTGATCTTCTTACTGATCGTCGTTAAAAACTCGAGTGTACATCGATCATTGGAAGTTGATTTTTGAGCGCTTCGGAATGCAAATCGACGACGAAGCACCCAAAAACACTATCTCGTATGCGGTGTTTAAAAATCTCCGTTTTCATTTAATTCCTTAGAGAGGAGCAAATCAACATCATCCCTTGAAGTGATGCCAGAATTTCCCTCGCACAGAGAATCACTGTAGTTTTCAAGAATAGACGTTGAATAGGTAGTTCTCCATTTAAAAAATAAAGTATGACAGGAAATCTGCAACGTCGTAAACCAAGGTACGTGGTTCGGGAATTTCACCGTCAAAATAGAGTTTTTTACGCAGATTGGAGCCTGTTGATTAAAAAATGTATTTTTGGAGATCATTTCAAACCGGTTTACTGCTCACAATGATGGGTAAATCTCTGTTTCTTGGTTTAGTGAAAAAATTTGTAGTTTCCGCGGGTTTTTTTTACGAAAATGTAAATTCTGCAGAAGTATATATACTTGCTGTCAACACGAACGACAAAAATTGTCTTCCCATTACGTCCGTCGGATAAATTTGAAAGGATTCTTCGAAAGAGCTCCTCAATGCCCAAAAATTTATTATACGTACTCACCATATCCTGCCGTGCTAAGGAAAAACGCCGTATGAGCCTTTAGGCGTTTCCTCATTTCCTCTGATTAAAAAAAAAAAAAAAAAAAANNTAAAAAAAAAAAAAAAAAAAAATTTATTGGAGAAATTGTAACTATTTTTCTTCCACTTTTTTAGACTATATTGTTCGAAATTTAATCTAAATTATTTGAAAATTTTAACGGCAAATATACACAACTTTCCTCAAAAATACATGTTTCATCCGGAGAAATTTGGCAACCCTCGAGTGTTCATATGGCGTTCTTTCTTAGCACGGCAGTATAGCGGAACGCTCCTCAGTTTATGAGTGTTGATGGAACAATTTGAGGTAAAACTCGGATAATAATCGTGTAAAACCTACCTTCAAATAGCGGTTGTTGTAAAATCAGGACGGGGCCGGTGTCGTTACTGGAGAGCTTATTTGGTTGGAACTCGTAATTGAGCGAGTCGAGTGNGGGGGGGGGGGGAGTGTGAATTTTTTGCCACACGCGAAATCGGAGTAAAAGATCAGTCCGCGCACTCATCACAATACAAACCGAGATCGGATATTGACGATGAAATTCGCTCTCATCGACAGGAATCTAGAGGCTGGTGTCCTTCAACGCATAAAAAACGAATACGACGAACTTCACCAGCTCGCCGTCGCCTGGACTACTTTAACTGTCTTTTTGTTCGATTTGACAGCGCTTTTAAACGAGAAACTACAGTTTCGGGCTCATTTTAGAAACAGCACGAGTGTCATTTCTTTCCCCATTCAGATAGGTCCTTTTATGGATGAGTCAAAAATTTTAGTTTCCTATTGCAAAATGTAGTCCTATTATAGTAGAATCTCGATTATCCGCAGTGATGGGGACTAAAGCCACCGCGGATAATTGAAAATCGTGTGTAATCTTAAAAAATGAGTTATTTGGCCAGGAAAAGGGATCGAAAAGCCTGAATTTTAATTTTTCTTTGTTAAAACACTTTTCAAATATTTGACAGATTTGTAATTATCAGTTAAAAATGAAAGAAAAAATCTCAAAAAAAGTTATTTTGCCAAACATTTTTGCCGGAGGATTTTTTTTTGTTATAAATGTTATCAATTGCTCATTGATGACAGCCGCCGAAAAAAACCGGCGGATAATTGGACCGAGTTTAACAGAAAGGAACCAAGCCACATTAGCTATTGCCAAATTTAACTGGACAATTAAATTTTTTACGATAGAATTTTTGTGCGGATTCCGTTAAAATTTTTAGAAGATTTGCCTCAAACTATGGGGAATTTTCACTGAAATTTGCACAAAAATCCGCACAACCGTTTTCATGTGAAAAATTAAATTGTTCAATTAAATTTGGCAATAGCTGATGTGGCTTGGTTCCTTTCTGTTTAACTCGGTCCAATTGAGGCTCTGGGCCGCATTCATAGCCGTTCTCTGAACAGCTTGCTTTCAGTGGCGCGGCGTGCTTTGCGATACATCGATTGTTATACCATTTAAACCTATGGAAAAGGATCGATAAATAGGATGTTCGCAGCGGACACCTTGATAATCGATTCTTTACCATAGGTTTAAATGGCAGAACAATCGATACAACATCACAAGTCACGCCACGCCACTGCTTGCATCTCAATATTTTGGGGGCCTCATAAACCACTTACGGCTTCAATAAGTGGTCCACATTTTTTACCGATCTTATTTTCCAGGGAGAGATCCCTCAGGCTTAATGGGCTGTGCGAAATTGTAGTGAAGACATGTGTGAGGGTTGTTTAAAGACACAAATAAATAAATGAAGAAAAACTTTAGAGGAAAAATGTACTTGATTGTGCTCACCGCCTTACGTAGGATTTCATGGGAGAACCTTAGGCTGGCTACATTAAAATACACGCTTCATTGATTTATTTTATGCTGAGTAGTTTCACCGTCGCACTCAATAAAAGAGGTCGGACAAAATTTGGAAACTTTAAACGCTTATAACTCCGTTTATACAAAATGGAGATGTTGCATGTGTGAGGGATTTGCGATTTGACCATTGATTCGTGTGTAAAAGTTCGCGAGAAACCCGATGGTGCCGCTGGTTTTCTCTGAAATCATCTCCCAAGCTCAAAAAAAGCTCTCAAAGTGAGGCCAGAATGGANGGGGGGGGGGGGGAGTGTGAATTTTTTGCCACATGCGAAATCGGAGTAAAAGATCAGTCCGCGCACTCATCACAATACAAACCGAGATCGGATATTGACGATGAAATTCGCTCTCATCGACAGGAATCTAGAGGCTGGTGTCCTTCAACGCATAAAAAACGAATACGACGAACTTCACCAGCTCGCCGTCGCCTGGACTACTTTAACTGTCTTTTTGTTCGATTTGACAGCACTTTTCAACGAGAAACTACAGTTTCGGGCTCATTTTAGAAACAGCGCGAGTGTCATTTCTTCCCCCATTCAGATAGGTCCTTTTATGGATGAGTCAAAAATTTTAGTTTCCTATTGCAAAATGTAGTCCTATTACAGTAGAATCTCGATTATCCGCAGTGATGGGGACTAAAGCCACCGCGGATAATTGAAAATCGTGTGTAATCTTAAAAAATAAGTTATTTGGCCAGGAAAAGGGATCGAAAAGCCTGAATTTTAATTTTTTTTTTGTTAAAACACTTTTCAAATATTTGACAGATTTGTAATTATCAGTTAAAAATGAAAGAAAAAACCTCAAAAAAAGTTATTTTGCCAAACATTTTTGCCGGAGGATTTTTTTTTTGTTATAAATGTTATCAATTGCTCCTAGATGATAGCCGCCGAAAAAACCGGCGGATAATTGAGGCTCTGGGCCGCATTCATAGCCGTTCTCTGAACAGCTTGCTTTCAGTGGCGTGGCGTGCTTTGCGATATATCGATTGTTATACCATTTAAACCTACGGAAAAGGATCGATAAACAGGATGTTCGCAGCGGACACCTTGAATCCTTGATAATCGATTCTTTACCATAGGTTTAAGTGACAGAACAATCGATACACCGCAATTCACGCCACGCCACTGCTTGCATCTCGATATTTTGGGGGCCTCATAAACCACTTACGGCTTCAATAAGTGGTTCAGATTTTTTACTGATCTTATTTTCCAGGGAGAGATCCCTCGGGCTTAATGGGCTATGTGCGAAATTGTAGTGAAGACATTTGTGAGGGTTGTTTGAAAACACAAATAAATAAATGAAGAAAAACTTTAGAGGAAAAATTTACTTGATTGTGCTCACCGCCTTACGTAGGATTTCATGGGAGAATATTAGGCTGGCTACATTAAAATACACGCTTCATTGATTAATTTTATGCTGAGAAGTTTCACCGTCGCACTCAATAAAAGAGGTTGGACAAAATTTGGAAACTTTAAACGCTTATAACTCCGTTTATACAAAATGGAGAAGTTGCATGTGTGAGGGATTTGCGATTTGACCATTGATTCTTGTGTAAAAGTTCGCGAGAAACACGATGGTGCCACTGGTTTTCTCTGAAATCATCTCCCAAGCTCAAAAAAAGCTCTTAAAGTGAGGCCAAAATGGAGGGGATATCCCGCCCTGCCCTGAGAGTCCACCTCTACATCAAAACAAACTCTCCATGCAAAGATAGGGAGCAAATACATTAGCAGTGATGCCGTGTTTTCAGTTTTGGAGTCCCCAAATAAAGTGGCAACCCTGCCAATGTATTTGCTCCCTATCTTTGCATGGAGAGTTTGTTTTGATGTAGAGGTGGACTCTCAGGGTAGGGTGGGATATCCCCTCCATTTTGGCCTCAACTTGAGAGCTTTTTTTGAGCTTGGGAGATGATTTCAGAGAAAACCGGTGGCACCATCGTGTTTCTAGCGAACTTTTACATCAGAATCAATAGTCAAATCACAAATCCCTTACACATGCAACATCTCCATTGTGCGGTTCTGAAAGTGTTCCATTGGTTTCCTCATGAAATTTTCTTCTGAAGGCACCCCTTGAAATTGCTAATGTAACAAAATAAACATAAAAATTTGCAGTTTTAGTCAATAATTTGGACTGCATTTTGCAATTTTGAACTATAAATTCTGACTCATCTGAAAAAACACTTATGTGCATAGGGAAACTAATGGCACATCCGTTGTTTTTAAACCGGGCCAGAATTTATAGTTCTAAATTGCAAAATGCAGTCCATTTGGACTACATTTTGCAATTTGGAACTATAAATTCTAGCCCGGTTTTAAAACGATGTATGTGCCATTAGTTTCTCTATGAACATAAGTATTTTTCCAGAAGAGCCAGAATTTATAGTTCCAAATTGCAAAATGCAGTCCATTTCATGTCCGACCTCTCCCATTGACTCGATCCACTATGCGTCGATACACCTCCTTAATTGGACTGCATTTAGCAATTTGGACCTATAAATTCCGGCCCGGTTTAAAAACAACGGATGTGTCATTAGTTTCCCTATGCACATTAGTGTTTTTTCAGATGAGCCAGAATTTACAGGTCCAAATTGCAAAATTCAGTCCATTTTTTTGAAATCTTAACGATAGTAATTTTAAGTAACAACGATACGAAGACCCTTACCGCGACGGGGAGGCGTGAATGATCGCTTATCGATATTTCCCCTTTGAAGCTGAGACGAAGAATCGATTATTAACGTGTTTGTTGCGAACACTGTGTTTATAGATTCTTTTTCATAGGTTTAAATGGCAGATCAATCGATATCTCGCAAAGCACGCCACGCCCTTGCCACCGATAGTTGCCGGAGTTTCGTCACAAGTAAGACTTCGCCTCGAAGCTTCCGCAGTTCTGATAGAGCCGGCCAGCCGAACGTATCGGTACCTCGCAACAGGGTTTAACTACTATACTGCCCCGAGCTTAGGGAAAACGCCGCGCCGTATGAACCTTCAGACGTTGCCAGATTTCTATTGATAAAACACGAATTTCCTCGTGAATTTGTGAATATTTTTTTACCAGTTTTTCAGGTAATTTTGTTTGCGTTTTCGCCTAAAGTTCCTGAAAATTTCAAGGAAACATTTGCGTGACTTTTCCTCAATCGACGGTGAAACTACGAGACGACGTATCTCGTTTGCGGTGTTCAAAAATCTCCGCTCACATTTTGTTTTTTTGAAGAGGACCAGATCAATATCATTCATCGAAATGTTCACAGAGTTTTCTCTGCACGAAGAGGAAAAGTCATGGAAGTTTTCACGAAATGACGTTGAGTGCTTTTTCATTTCAGAAGTAAAGTATGACAGGAAGTCTACAACGTTGAAAACCGAGATACGTGGTCTGGCAGTTTCACCGTCGAAAAATAAACGTTTTGCCGATTTCGGCAACTCTCGAATGTTTTTCAGCACAGCAGTACAGCTCTCCGATGCAAATTCAAAACTGAACTGACACGTCAAAATGTCTGGGTGACACTGAACATTCGATGAACTCTTTCATAAGATACTACATCAAAGCTCGAGGTAAGCAGGCAGTATACGAATGGTCTCTGTTCTTTATTTTCCTGGGCTCATGGCAAGACCACAACTACATGCTTGACGTAGGTCGGTATCATGCTTTTCTGAGTCAGCTATCAACATTCGGCAAGAGAAGTTCGTTTAAAAGTCTCGTTACTGAATGAAATATCTTTCAATATGCTCCTCAATCGATTACTTTCTACCATGTTGACATAAAAACAAAACAAAAAAAACTTCTCCGAACAGACCGATTTGGAAGTGTTCCTTTTTTTTTTGGGGGGGGGGGGATTCCCATAAGGTGCCTCATGTAAGTAGGTAGTCAAACAGAAATGCATCGAATCACATATTGGATAGACATGAGTTAGTGGGTTGTTTTAAATTCAACAAGTCGGTAAATTTTCTTCAATCAATATTTCAAATTCGAGAGAACATATTTTGAGTCATTTAACTTAAACCTGCTGCTACTTTATTGAGTAGCGCAGGCTGCAATTAATTGCAAGCACATGGTAAAATTATTGGTGTTATGAGCTGGAGGTGTTGCCTATTTGCTAGTTGAAGGGGCTCCTCTAATTATTTGCACTGCACATTATTGCCTCCCTCTCACATATGGAACGTATTTTATTGATCGTCTAAAATCGGGTTTAATGACCGACCGATGTAAAAATATTGCAGTCATTGCTTTATTTTGCAAAATTATTTCAATATTTTAGTTTCACTATCCAACTTGGGTGGTTAGCTCTACTAAACTCGGTCAAAATGCTCCTCTATCAACGACCTTCAATGGTGCATTAAAAACAATAGGCACAATACCTGCCTATTGTTCGTGCATGTACAATTGGTTAAGGACGAATTAGCGCATCGGCGAACGTTTTGTTGGAGTCATTCGAACTCTCTAGATAACTGCAAACTGTTATCACGAGTGTCCAAAAATAGATTAAGTACACTTCAAACCGTACGCTTTTCACGTGAAATCGTATCAAATTTCTAGTTAGTGGTGCTCTCATGCCGATCGGCGAGCAAATCTTCCCGCTAATTAAAAAAGACTATTTCCATGAGTGAAACGCGTTACTATTTTGATACCATGCTATCAACATGGAGCAACTGAGTAAAATAATTGCTGTTCATTTGAAAAATGATTGTGCGGACTCAATGGCGGATTTATTCCACCAACAAGATGGTACCAACTTAATCCAAGTGACCAGCAGAATCCATTACGATTCCAACGAGGGATAATCCTTGGACCTAGTTGATATAAGAGTGCCTGTACAGCGAGACTATGGACAGATGTGAAACTCTGAAAAATCCATCAGGCCTTCACCGATGCTTCTGCGAGTAAAATTAGGGCCCAGAAACGCAGCCAACCTATGAATTTCAATTATCCAGAACGATTTACTAATACTATTGTTACGAACCGTCGTTTATAAAGCACATATTTGACATAGTTTTTGCATAAATTCACTCATTTTTGCGGAAGAACGCTCATTTCTGTACATTCTTGGCCATCTTGGTTAGAATTGGAATTTGCAGACTCTGCAGATTGAAAGTGAAATTTTGTGTGGTAGAAGTTGGTTAGAGGGATGGCTGCACTTTTGGGCCCTAAAGACCCATGAAGCGATCTGTCCATACTCTCGCTATACAGGTACTCTAGTTGATATCATGTTTCACTCATCAATGTGGTATCCTGTTGTTACCAACATGGGGTGCCACGCAATACACATGCCAGCGGTTAAGAATAGTGTCATAATCAGTAAGAAAGAACAAATGTGCGCAGCTCAAGATTATGAGATTTATGTTTTTATTTTTAGGAGAAGATTGGAGAAGTTGCCAAGATCTGAACCGTTCCTCCCATCGGACGACTCTTTTTTACTGTAAAAAAAAGATCATTTAGAAAGACATGGTCGTGTGAAAAGAAATTTGAAGTCCCGATCAAGAATAATCGGTTTTACACGACGGCTTTTAGAGGACGGCAAGCGATCAACAGAAATGATAGATAAAGTTCTCAACGCTGGTCAGTTTTTTGAGAAAGAAGGGAATCAACATAAAAATGCCTGCAGGTCACTTTTGTCTCAGGTAACAACCGTCATGAATGTTTCACTTCCTTAAAAAAGGTCGATCAAATCTTTTGTAAGATGACTTGGGATCCTCTTCTTGCTGTATCTGGCATTGCAGATGAAATAGTTTTTAATTAATCTGTAGAATTCTAACGATAATGATTCTTTATATTTTGCCTCCGCAATTGCAACCCCACAGAGCCTCTGAAAATACTAGAATTTGAATCCTGGAAAAAGCACGCAGTTTACACCATTCGACAGCAGGGCCGGATTAAGGGGGTGGTCACATGGGTCGCGGCCCTTGGCGGCAAATTTTGCAATTTTTTGGAATGTAGCAGGTATAAAAAAAATTGGATTCAGAAAAAAAAAATATATATCAATGAGAGAAGGGGACAAAATCTCTCTTTCCTGAGAGTATAGTAATTTCTAATTTTGTCGTTTTTCGGTGACACAAGAGACAGCATCCTCAATTAGTGGAGTTAAGAAAGGAACTAAACACGAAATTAGGCCTGGAGTTCAGCGCAGAGAGGAATGATGACTAGGACTTGAGATGAGAAGGACAAGCCCTCGGCGCGCGGCGCGGCGGTCGGCATCGGATCGGCATGTAACACATAATAGCGCCTACAAGACTGCAGGAATACTTCACGCATTGCGCCGAACTTAGTGCGACTAGCGCGGCGCAGCGGCGGAAGTTAAAATTATTAAACCACATTTATGTTTGTTCTTTCATAATTATTTGGTTAATTTCTTATAAATGGAGGACCTTGTCCACACAGAGATAGGTTTACAGGACTGAACTTTCGCGCAAAGTTCCGTGAAATTTTGCTGGTAGTGTTGACAGGGCTTTCGCAAAAAAATGTATCCAACACGAGTAGGTAAACGCGTCTTAATGCACCCCTCCTCCTCCGGCACGTTCAATTGATGGTTTTCATCGATGTTTCAAAACGAGTGAGAATGGGGTGGCAAAATACAGGCGGCCTATGGGCGGCAAGTAGGTAAATCCGGCCCTGCTCGACAACACTAAAATTCACATCAATCTAGGTAGATATAGGTAGAGCATACAACTAACAATATCCAGCCTGCACAACAGCTTTACCTCTTAAAAATTGAAAAAAAAATAGAGACGCACAATTTAAATTCCTTTTCAGAGACAGCACAGAGAGACTAGTTTCAGGATCACCGGCCATCCTCAGTTCCGTGTATCTCTCGTCGAATCGTTCCGCCAATCAAAAAGAAAAAAAAAAAGAAAAAGAATAATAAATAAATAAATTATGAAACACCAATATGCTGCAAAAAATAATAATTATAATTTTGAGAAAAAAACTTACATCTTGACCTGCGGGGCTTTTCGGCAATTAATGGCATCATCAGAGTGTAAATGCAAATTGAAAAAAACTAAACTAAACCACGAGTGCAAATCAGGCTACTGATAAAATAACATTTGCACTTATAATTTACTTCACTTTTTCAATTTTATTGTAATTTGAACTTCTGACGATGGCACTAATTGCCGAAAGGCCTCAGGTCAAGATGTAATTTTTTTCAAAATTATATTCATTAGTTTGCAGCCTAAAAGGCTCTTTACAATTTAATTATTTATTTTTTACTACTTTTGCTGCTCACCGAATCGTGCATAATTAAAGAAAAAAAAGGTTGGAAAATTATTCCTTTAAATTAATCTGTTCAAATCTTGCAAATCATCGTTTCTTATTATTTTCTGTAGACCAGTTACTCCAATTTTCATATGAAGTAATCGCTTTTATAGTATCAAACTTTTAAACTTTTGTAAACTTTCACTTTTATAATATGCCCTAAGGTAACTTTTTATCATTATTTCAATTAAATTTATCGGACTGAATAAGCGACATTTTTTTTCTTATTTTCAAGGTAGTGGCTACAATAGTTTTGGGTGGTCTAGTTTTTGATATCGGTATGATGACAACAATGCCCACACTGGTGATAGGTGCACTCCATAAGAACTCTGCGGGGGAATTGAAGATGAATGATGATCAGGCGTCCTGGTTTGGTGGGTAGGAACAGATTTTTAAAATTTGGTAAATACAGATTGTAACAGACGTCTTAAAGGAAATTTACATGTAGCTCCAAAAGAAAAACTCATCATTAATGAAAAGTTAGCGTTTCAAAAACGAAAATCCATTTACATTCCATTGAATTAAACATTGCATTCATTGAAAATAGTTTCTTAGGCACTTTCTGAAGAGATTGATAAGGAAAGCCGGTAAATAAGTCGCAATTTTTTTCTCTTTCTTTACTTATAGACCATTGCGACGTACGTCTTTCGGCTCTCTTTTCGGCGAAGAGAGCATGTTCTCTCTTCGCTTTCACGGCCGGAGACAAGAGACCCTCTCCCCTCTACTGGCCTTTTGGCGACAGCCGGAAGCTTTTACTTTCGGGGATTCAACTGTTCCTTATGGACAATTATGAGGGAGCAACACTCAACAGTCATCACTCTTATTTCGGCTGTTGACCTACCTACATGGTGGATGATGAGCTTCGGGTGACGTCATGAGTCAAACAAGTTCCCCAAACTTCGGCTTGTTTGCAATAAACGAAACTGCCAACACGTTGTTGAACATCAACCATGTAGGTAAGTCAACAGTAGAATGCTGAAGTCCCGAAAGTAAAAGCTTCCACCATTGCCAAGATACTAGTGGAAGGTCTCTTGACTCTGGTCACGGCAGACCCGAAGACATAAAGACGGAGCGCTAGAAGAAGAAAATGAAGCCACCTCTCCTATTGGTTAGAGCAGCAGAAAAACTAACTTTATCTGAGATTCCTGTAAGATTCCTCCTTGTTACCAAGCCAAAATAGGTTTTTCATGATACTTCTCCATCCCAACTTTATTTATCTGTTCGTATTAGGCATTCAAAATGAGATTCGAAAAAGAAATATGGAAAAATGAAGAAGACACGTTCAAATCAAATCGTTTCCCGCGCATGGATTCGGTTTCAGGACATTCCGTCAACGATTTCTTGTCCACGCACCTGTTTGGTCCAGTAGTTAACGTTCATGCGTAAAATAAGCAACGGTGACTTGGACCAAGCCTTATATTTTAGTCCGCGCGTATAATGTAAAATTATATTGACAATATCGAAATGAGAATATTGAGAGAAAAGAAGGTGTTCTTATGGTAACTCATTTTTTCAATGAAATGTTGTTATCTTCTTTTGATTCGTCTTTTCAAATTGTCATTGGAGAATATTTGGATGTTTTTCTAACCTTGAAATTTTCGATATAAAATGTACCTCATATATGCCTTAATTCTTTTTTAAATGAAAATATTACTTCATTTAAAAGATATTTACATTTTTAAAACGTGGCAAACCTTTGCCAAGCGATGGCATCGATATTGATATCAATGAGCCGTAGTGGTGTTAAAAGAAACCAAACAAAAATGAATAAAAGAGATAAAAACCAAGAAACACGCAATCTTTGGTTTTAACCCATTTGTACGTTTATCTTTTAGAGTCAAATACGTTCAATATTGAGCGGTTGGTTGCGCGTACACCACGCTGCACCACTTAAAAGCACATAATATATTAGAAAAATGCCTGCTTCGGAAATCATTAAATCTGACACAGAACTACCTTAATATTAATAAAACACACACTATATTTTCCTTTAATTTTTTTCATCAACTTATATGAGAATAATCTATGCAGAGTGTGCAAACATTTCAAAATCATGAGTTGAAAACCGCTGACTCCGCGAGTTTAAATTTAGAGCCTAACACAGCGAACAGCGCAGCATGCTGACGGCGCGAAACGCGCACTCGCACTGGCGCCTACAAACCTAATAGCGATACTTCACGCATTGAGCTATGCTTGAAGTATCCCCTTGGGTTTGCAGGCGCCGAAGCGTGCCACGGCGCCTCAAGCAACTATTTCACAACAGAGGTGTTGCACAGTATCATACGAAATTGAAGGCGATCCAACATATTAAGAATGGCAGGCATCCTTGAAGAGTACGGAGCTTTCCTAGCAAAATAAACCAAGAGACTACGGCACAAAAAGAGAGCAGTAGGCCAAAAACTCACTAAGTCCTAGCATTCGTATTTAATAACGTTTAGCATAATTTTTGAATTTCATTAAAGAAAAAAGTGACTCGATTTAGGTAGAAACATTCTTAAGTATACCGTCAAGAAGGTTTTATTTTGAATCAAGAATACAATAGCTGAATGAAAGCGGGTTTCTGCTTGATATAAGTGACTTTTCTTTTTATAAAGCACCTTTTCTTCTTTAAACTAGCATTATTTTCTTTATTGATTCATAGGAAAATCTTCTCGGCGGTAAATTTGAGCACATTGAAATTTCCTGGGAATTTTGATTATTCGAATAAAAGACTGAATGACTTCGTTGATTTTTACATTTTAATTTTTCAAGTCACAAATAAACAAGAGGAAAAATTTAGAGAGAAAAAGTATTATGAGAATCGAGGCAGGACAATGAAGGTAAGAATGAAGAAATCGTGAAGAATTCAAATCTTGGCGTTTCCCTGACGACGCGGGGGGGGGGGGACTCTCCGTTTCACATATTTCTGTTTGAACAAGTCAATTTTTCCTCTAATGAAGTTCAAAAAGCATGCTGAACGTTATTGCATACAGGTACTAGGAATTAGTAAGTTTTTTTGACTAGGTACCGTTCTCTTTTTATCACCGTTACTCGATTTAATTTGCGAGAGAACTTCATGCATTTGAAGGATGCCATGAATCATGATACGTTAGGGGTGCCTTCAATCTTGTTTGATACTGTGCAACACCTCCGTGGCGAAATAGTAGCTCGAAGCGCCGCGCCGTCGCGAAGTTATCGTACACAGGAAAAATCTAAGAGCTTTTAGCTGAGGCAAATCAAAAGGTTCTTACCTGATTTATTTTCAAATCAAAAGGTTTATCCGGTTCAGATATAACAAGTTACAAGATGAGATTTTCTTGAAAAATAATTAAGTCCTGTTGCACCAACGAGGTGTAAAAAGTCCTAGGGTGGTTTCACGATAACTAGAATAGTTTTGTCGCCATAACAGACAACACATTTTTCGGTCATATTTTTAGTAGTAATGATAATCACTCGAATTTTTTCGTATTAATCTTCAAAGAGTTACGTATTATAACGCTGTCTAATGATTCATTGATCTCTTTCTCAATGAATATTATGTAAATTTCGAAAATGTGCTTTCTGTTACGCGGTAAGAAGTCAGCGTAACAGACAGCACATTTTCGACCATTTATATATTAAAATTGAATAGTAGAGCGATAAATTGCTGAAAAGCTTTATAACAAGTAACCCTGTGTAGATTAATGCAAAAAAAATCGGGTGATTATCATTACCACTAAAAATACATATGACCGAAAAATATGTTGTCTGTTACGGCGACAAAACTATTCCAGTTATCGTGAAACCACCCTTTAGTGAATTTTCCCTCATGTGATTGACGCTCCCCCATTTTTACCGACAATCTCGACTATACATTTTTCTCTGTTGGACGAAACAAATAAAAAAAAAACAAGTGAACCCTCATTCTTCCAAAAAATGTTACATTTTCATCCAAGAACGTCGTGAGCAATGGAGATGTTGCATGTAGAGGGATTTGCGATTTGACCATTGATTCTTACGTAAAAGTTCGCGAGAAACACGATGGTGCCACTGGTTTTCTCTGAAATCAACTCCTCAGCTCAAAAAAAAGCTCTCAAGTTGAGGCCAAAATGGAGGGGATATCCCACGCTATCCTGAGAGTCCACTTCTACATCAAGACAAACTCTCCATGCACAGATAGGAAACAAATACATTAGCAGTGATGCCGTGTTTTCAGTTTTAGAGTCCCCAACTAAAGTGGCAGCCCTGTCAATGTATTTGCTCACTATCTTTGCATGGAGAGTTTGTCTTGATGTAGAGGTGGACTCTCGGGATAGCGTGGGATATCCCCTCCATTTTGGCCTCAACTTGAGAGCTTTTTTTGAGCTTAGGGGTTGATTCCAGAGAAAACCAGTGGCACCATCTTTGCGAACTTTCACATACGAATCAACAGTCAAATCGCAAATTCCTCACACATGCAACATCTCCATTGCCGTTTGTATTTACATGTGAACTAAATAACTTCGAGTCTCAATTGGACGTATTTCTACCAAACAGACCTATGTGGCGGTGAGAAATATGGGGTGTGCTCTAGAAATCTGCATAAGAAGCAATGTAAAAGTGGGCGTGGTTCCTTTTGAAGAATTGGGAAAGCGGGATAATGCATTCTATCAAACAGACCTATGTGCAACTGAGTGCGGAACTCATGAGCCGCGGGCAGGGCAAGAAAGCGTTGTGGACAGGGCTCATGAGTTGATGACCACCGAGAGCAGAACGACGGCGGTTCCATCTCCGTTGACGTCACTGGCGCTTTATTATTCTCATTCACTCTTACGGCCAGAGAACTAACGAGCACACCCCATATTTCTCACTTCCACATAGGTCTGTTTGGTAGAACTACGTCCAATTGGTAGGTGGACTAAAACTCCCCTGCCGAAAGAAACCCGTGCATGTAAACTACTGGAGAAAACAGTTGCGCGGACAAAAATTCGTTGACAGAATGTCCTGTAACCCATGGATTCACAGCGCCAGAATGGCTCCACTTTTTCCCCGTGCTTTTAGATACGACCACTCCGTCTTCATGTCTTTGACCTGCGGGCCGATTATTGAAATTTAAACCAGCTCAATAAGACATGGAATTGCGATATATTGCATGGTTGAGATAGCGGCTATGCCTTGTCATGTCGGGCTGACATAGTTTCAATAATCGGGCCGCTGACCAGAGGTCTCACAATCGGCCTTAACCTGATTTCAGGTAGAGTCCCTTTATACCCAGAGTTAAGACAACTCGATTATCAACTGACTGGCAGCCGGCCTTGGCTGACCATGGAGGCCGAAACGAGTGCACCCAAACGAACGATATTGAAGGATAAGTATTAGGAATCCTGCGATGTCTGTCACACAAAAACAACAACATCATCAAATTGATCAATTAAAAAGAAAATGAGATTGGTTTGTGAATAATTTCTTAATCAATTTTCATTTTAGACCGATGGAAATAACAATTTACACTTGATAAACCACAATTAGGTAATATTTTCATTATTCTTGTTCACATTCGAGGTACCGCCATCTTATTGTACTCGTTTCGGCCTCCATGAGCGAGAACCAATCAGAATTGGATTTTTTTTTAGGACACTTTCAGCCCAACCAAAAGTGAGTTGTCTTAACTCTGGGTATAAAGGGACTCTAATTTCAGGGAGCATAATATTCTTCGCGCATCCGATGGGGGCGTTGATCTCCGGGTACCTCCAAGAGCGTTTCGGGCGCAGAGGGAGTATGATCCTGGTCAACGTCCCGGTCTTGGCGGCGTGGCTCACCCTCCACTTAGCCGACTCTGTCTACCAGCTCCACCTCGTCTCCGTTCTCATGGGCCTCTGCGTCGGCTTCTGCGAGGCGCCGCTCCACTCCTACATCGGCGAGGTCGCCGAGCCCCATCTCCGGGGCACCATCTCCACCTTGGTTTGCATCGCCGGCCACACCGGGGGGGTTCTCCTTCATGTGCTCGGGTATTTAGCTCAATGGCGGACGACCGCGCTCTTCTGCGGTGCGGTTCCCGCAATCACCTTCTTCGCCATGACCCAGGTAGGGATCCAAGTTTTCCGAGGTGGAGTCCCTTTAGACCTTGTCTCCACGGGACGTTTTCATGGGATTTGTCCCAAGTTTGAATCGCAGGAATGAAACTTCTGGGATTTTTCCCAGTTACCGTCTCCACGGGACGGGGCTCATACAGTCCTGCGACTAGTTTTCGCGGGAAGATAAATTGGTTAAAGTCGAGTATTTAACCGGGATTAAAATAATAATTGCACTCAATTGACAATTAGACACATTATTTTAACTAAACAAACAATAACAATGTGGTAATGAATAAAATATCGCACTGTTCGTTTTCACTTCTTCTTCTTCTCTCAGTGGGTCCTAGGGGTACAAGTACCATACTTGGTACTGGGAAAAATATTGATTAACTCAATATTTTTCCCAACTTCGTAAGTGGGATTTTTCCCTGGGACAAATCTCGTGAAACGGCTCGTGGAGACAAGGCCTTGTAGAGAGAGTTAAGATAACGCGGCTCATGGATGTCACAAACCGGAATCAAGATTACACAAATTGGACGTATTTGTGATATTTGATCAACCCGTTCCCGAATTCCTATCTCCGTTCTCTCTCTCATTCCATTTACTCCGTGCCGTACCCCCAATGTCCCGGTCCATTCCAGTTTATAATCTTTGCAATTGGTGAAACTGTAATCTTTATTCCCGTTTGCGACACTGTGGAGGCCGAAAATAAGGTAACCAATCAGAAATGGATTCACATTGTCCTAATTCTCAGTATAAAGGGACTCTACTATCAACGATTGTACTAACTTCTTCGAATCTATCCAAGACAATGAATAAGACGTAGAAAAAACTGCCCCCAATGTCCCGGTCCATTTCAGTCTATAATCTTTGCAATTGGTGAAACTGTAATCTATATTCCCGTTCGCGACACCGTGAAGGCCTAAAATACGGGAACCAATCAGAAGTGGATTCACATTGTCTGTACTGTCAGTGTAAAGGGACTCTATTGCGAGTAAGTCCAATACTACCGTGCTAAGGAAGACCGGCGTATGAACATTCGAGAGTTGCCAGATTTCCTTCGGTAAAATATTTAGTTTTTAGGAAAGTTATGAATATTTTTCCTTGAAATTTTCTGGCGCTGAATGTGAAATGGCGTACACAATTATCAGGAAGACTGGAAGGAAAATACTCCTAGGTTTACCAGGAAATTCGTGTTTTATTGAAAGAATTAAGGTAACGCCTGAAGGTTCATACGGCGTTTTTCCTTCACACGGTAGAATACCGAGAACCCAAATAGCACAGATTGTAATGATTTCCAATGGACAATTTGCAGGTGTCTGAAATTTGAGAAATTTCGTGTTTATGTGGAAACTACTGAATGAACTGAATACGAGGATACCCTTGGTCTGTAAATTGAACAGTTACTGGAGGAGCTATGACAAAATTATCTAATCTGCTGAAATACATATGTTTTAGTGGAAAATACCGCAAGATGACGTCACTAGGCGATGTATTTTCTCACTTTTGAATACCTACATTTTTATACTATTCCACTCATCAAAAATAGATCATAAAATATACCGCGAAATCACCTATTTTGGCACCCTCAGATGAAGCAATACAAAATTTGCGCGCAAATGTATAAAACTATGTTCCTTGAATCCCTGAAAATTCCCTTTGACGTGAAATGTCGATATTCCTTCATTGGTTTGGAAGAAATAAAATAAGAAATTTTTTTTTTTTTTTTTTTTTTTTTTTTTTTTTTTTTGTAGTTCTACCGGGAGAAAAAGTGGCGAATCTTTTCGAAGATAAGACAATTTAAGCATCTTACTTCACCGGCTGTGTTACACAAAGTCGGGGATTTCGATTTCCACCTGTTTCGCACTACCACTCAAATAAGGAAAATTGACAGGTGAGCATTTTACTTGCTGATGGATGCTCCTAGCTCCCCCTCCCTTCTGATTATGACCCAGAGAGTCGTGAGGGTGGATGAGAGTCAAGCGCCCAAATTTTAATTTCTATCTGACCTTTGCAATGTCCAGATCCCGGAATCTCCGACGTGGCTAATCCTGAACAGCCGTTTGAAGGAGGCGCAGAAGGCTCTCGGCTGGGTGAGAGGATGGGTCGAAGCGGAGGTGGTACATGAGGAATTTCAAAGGCTGCTTGAACACGCCGCAGTTGCACCCAAGTCCCGACGAGTTAGCACCTTCGAGGGACAGAAATATGAAATGGTTCCGTTGACTGAGGATGGTAGGTGTTGAGTCTTAACCTAGTTGTGCTCAACTTTCAAATTATTTGTCTTATGAAAAAATGGATGCATTTATACAGAAAATACCTTTTTTATTGCAGGTGGACGTAATTTGCGCGAAAATTTCCACATCGAGTAAAGGGCTTGGAGGACTGGACGCATAAGTGAATTAAAAAATAAAATTGAGTGGCTTGGAAGACAAAGCGCAAAAGGACAGTTTTTGGTATTTCGAAAAAATACGTGTTTGGAGTATCAAAATTACAGGGTCCTCACGGCGGAGAGAAAGTTCAAACTGACTTTTTGATGCTTAATAATTGGAATTTGGGAGCAAAGTTTTCACAGAATGTGCCTTAAGAATATTTTTTACTTGGAATCATTAATATATCAATTCTTTCAAAAACTGCACTTATGCGCCTTGTCCTCCAAGCCTTCAATTAATGTAATAATAATTTCAGCTAAAACTAGTCTTCAAACACATTTTGTGAATAACTCACACCAAAATTTCAACTTTGAAGCATAAAAAGTGAGTTTGAACTTTTTTTCGCCAAAAGCATGATGTGATTTCGAAATTTTAAACACTTACTACTCAAAGTAGAAAAAACTGAACTTAGGAACTGTAAAAAATCGAGGAGTGAAATTCGGTGCTGGAGTCTCTTAGAGCCCCAAAAAAACCGAGTGATATGGATACGAAGTGAAAATACCACCATAATAGCGCATTCCACTCTGCAAAAAGAGTAGATTCCGTAAAAAGCTCTTATTCCGTAAATAACTCCGTAAAAAAATGGGTTCTGCTTCGAATTCACGTCACTCAGGGTTTTGGGGCGCTACTTAGGGTCTATCGCACAGAATTTTACTCCAAGCATACAATAATGGGGAAATATCGATAATCGATCATTCACGCCTCGCCACTGGACAACAGGTCATGACGTTTGAGGAACATCGTCTCCTCTTTTTTTTTCAGGGACTCCTCAAAAAAGTACACAAGAGACTGAGAGCTTCCTGAGAATTAAATGTCGAGAACTGAGCGACCAGAAAATGTTTCGCCCGCTTCGAATGGTGTTCATAGTTTTCATTTTTAGCTTCGCAACACAGCTGATGGGGATGCGACCGTTCCTGGTCAATATATTCAATGAATTCGGCCTCCAAATCGACAGCCAGCTTGTTGTGGTGCGTCTAAATATAGTAATAAATGATTGGACTACATTCTGGAATAAGGAACCGTATTTTCCTTCAAAGAAACATCGTATATGTAGTATTACTTTCCATTTCAATGCTTTTACGAATGAGCTAAAATTTGTAACTCCTCCTTGCAAAATGAATTTCAAATAGAGGCTCGGAGGACAAGGCACGTAAGTGCAGTTCTTGGAAGAATTGAGGTATCAATGATTTCAAGTAAAACTAGTCTTATTCCATATTTTGCGGAAAATTCGCTACAGAGTTTCAATTTTTACGCATCAAAAAGGCAGTAAGAACTTTCTTTCCACCATAAGGATCCACGTGATTTCGAAACTACAAACACGTATTTCTCGAAATAGCAAAAGCTGCACTTATGCGCCTTGTCCTCCAAGCTTCTCAAATGTAAACGTTCACGAAGAAAGAGAGCACAGTGACAGAAAACTCGAGAGTTCGTTAGCGTACATTGACTACATTTGGCATGAAGGAACTACCATTTCTAACTTATCCATAAGAACATCTATCTGGATAGGAAAACTGATGGCGCATAATTCGTTTCCAAAACGAGGCAGAAATTTTAGTTCCTAATTGTAAAATGTTGCCTGACTGATGCCAGAGTATACATATAGAGGAGAGTGTCATGAATATGTTTTTTTGGAGGGACGCCGAAGGATCTCAAATTAAAACATACACGGAAAAAACGAGCTTAGGGTTGGGACCTACATGTTAGTGCTGGACACTAACGAGGGTTAGGTCAAATGGAGCCACCAAGTCAGAGGAGTGCTGGGCACTAAACAGCTCGAGGCTGGGTCACTAAGGAAGAAGTAGTGTCAAGCCCTAAAGTGACTTTGGAGCGAGCGTAAAATATGATACGCCTCCGCCTGGGATCGAACTCGGACTGCGCCGGTAGAAGACCAGCGCGTTACCACCAGGCTATGGTAACTCCGATGTTTTATGGGTGAATTTACACCTGTTAAGCGCAACTACGTCTCGCGGCATCTGATTAGCACTACTCATGTTCAGTGCCCACCTGTACTGCCTTCCGATGTTGAGCTGTACAGCGCTTAGACGCCAGCCCTCAACTACTCCCCACTAAACGGCCAGTAGTGCTCAACACTAGTCTTGTTTTTTCCGTGTACTTATGGTAGTTTGAAGATTTATGTTCAAGAACATGGTTCTGAGAATTAGGTGTTTAAAATCCTAATATGGTATGTTCAGAACAAGAAATGGTCGCATTATATTGCACTTTTATGCCCTCACTTGGCACAAAACTTAACTATCCCACACCCACTCGCAGCTTATCCTGTCTATTCTAATAAAATCATTTAAGACGTTCGATGGACGGGGTGAGGAGGGAGAGTGAGACGGTCCAAAGGTCAAATTCCAAAACAGGAATCAAAATTCACAGTAAGGAGAATGTCATTAAGAATATTGTTTGGCGGTAAATTTTTCTTTGAAACATCGTTTTGTTACTTAATTAAAATTATTTTCTTATAGATCGTATTCGATACATCAAACGGGTGAAATTGTATCGATATCAATTGGTTCAAAACATAAACACAGCCTCAAAAGTCAATTGGGTAATCCGACAGAGCGGGTTTTTTTGATAGATTTTTGATTTGTATGAGTCCTAATTGGCCAAGAGTAGTGAAATTGCTACGAAATTTCTCATTATCAGCTTCTCTGACAAATATCTGAAAATTTTGGTTTAAGGTTATGTTCTTTTGTTTTGAACCAAACGATACATCGAACCACTATCAAATACGATCCATTAACTGCGAACGGGCGATTTCGACGATTTCGCTGGCCGCGAAGTTGTATTTGGGGCGCGCAGCGTCCCGGGGGTTGGGCCGCGTAGCGGCAAGGGGGCGGAGCTCCCTGGTTCTTTTGACATCTAGAGAGAGAGTTTTCCATCAAAATCTGAACTTCAAAATTTAATGTTTTATTGGATGTAGTTGACAGGATTTGTCTAAAATCGCTCTCAAGTAAATCTTGCTTTGCTACGACTTCGCTTCCTCCTCGCGTAGGCATCATTTTTATTCTAAATTTCCAGGCCTTGACGAGGTTTTCTCTCCTCGTCGGTGCCATTTTGAACGTGACACTTTTGAGGCGATTCGGTAAAAGGAAGTTGACGTTGCTCTGCCAAGCGGCGGCCACTGTGTCCATCATTTTACTCGGCGTCTATTGTTCCATTTTCGACGAAACGAATCGAAATGCAAGCCTTTCATGGATCCCAATCTCACTGATGACAAGTGTCTATTTTTTCATTGGATTCAGTTTGACCATTCTTCCATGGCAACTTTGCGCTGAGGTTTTCCCTATCAGGTGAGCATCTAGCTTTTTGACACTGTGCGCTGCCGCACTAAGGAGGAACGCCGCACGGTGGATGGATTCAATAGGAGAGGTCGGACAAAATTTGGAAACTTCAAACACTCATAACTCCGATTATACAAGAATTTGAAGGTCTGAAGGCGGTTCCATTGGTTTCCTCGTGAACTTTTCTACTACGTGCACCCCTTGAAATTCAAAATGTGACAAAATAAACATCAAAATTTGCAATTTTAGTCAAAATTTTCATGTCCGACCGCTTTATTTGACTCGATCTACCGTGCGCCGTATGAACATTCGAGAGTTATTGCCAAATATTCCCGTTTAAAGCATTATTTTTCAAGAAAGTTTTGCCAGAAAAATTCGAAGAGAAATATTCACATTTTTCCCGGAAAAGTACCTAATGTCTTATTGAAGGAATTACAGCAACGTCTGAGGGCTCATAAGGCGTTTTTCCTGATCACACAGGTACAGTGTACGTCGTTCGTCGTCTTTGCAATCAGTGGCGTGGCGTACTTTGCGATGAATCGATTAATTTGTCATTCAAACCTATGATAAAAGATCGATTATCAAGCCGTTCTCAATGAACACCATAATCAACGATTCTGTACCATAGCTTTAAATGGGAAAAGATCGAAAATCGATTACTACGCCTCTTCACTGTTTGCAATAATTGGACGTATTTCTGCCAAACGGAACTATGTGCATCGAGACATGAGCCCTGAGACCCATAAGAATACATGCAGAACAGGGCTCACGTCATAGTGCACATAGCTCCGTTTGACAGAAATACGTCCAATTTTGATGGCCTACTTTATACATTCAACGAGTTTCGCAGATCAGGGGGAGAGTATGGACATCGCAAGATCAAATTCTGATTGGCTGAATCGTCTTAGGTCACATACTCCTGTTTAGGGCCTAAAAATAGCGAGCCTTCACTATTACAAATACATGAACAAACCGGTGTGTAATAACGGAAACAAACACACCGCTTAAACAGTAAACACACGCGCTCGACATTTTTAACAGCGTTGAAAACAGATTTATAATAATGCCAAGAATGAACCCATTTATCTAAAATTTTCGTTTTAAACCTCTTGAGGCGTAATTTTTTTTTTAGACCACACGTTTATCCATACCTACTCTGCTTGATTTTTGCGTATTATTAATTTTGTTCGAATTGTCTTAAAATATTTTGCAGTGAGAACCTGTGTCATATTTCACTTCAGTCATAATTCAACTGTTGTGAGCTTCTGAACATTTTTCAGGGGCCGTGGTGCCGCACAGGGACTTTCAGCCGGCTGGAGCTACTACGTGCGTTTCGGAATGTCTGTGACTTACCTGTACCTTGAGAAGTGGATACGGCTAAGTGGAGTCTTCTACTTGTACGGGGTGATTTCGGTGATCGGCTTTTGGTACTACTGGCGCTACCTGCCGGAGACCGAGGGCAAATCACTCGAGCAGATTGAATCTTACTTTACAGACAACCATGACAAGACGGAGAAATTCTCCAGGGTGAAAAGCAAATAAGGATTTCCCAACATATCGGGGAGAAGTTAGAAATTTTGGAAGCAAAATCATTATAAACGTCGAATTTTTGATTAGGTGAACTGCTGTTCTGAGGAAGAGCGCATGTCATCGCTCCTTTGACTTAAGGGCGTAGCTCAATTTCCACGTGAAACCTGTTTTACATGTAAATCCTTAATGTCTGGGGCTCATCCGGATATCGAGATACGTCCTTGTAATAACATAATATTTAGTTTAAAGAAAAGTTATGATTATTTTTCGTCGTAATTTTAAAATTAAAGAGAATCAGGCCTTCGTGTATGGAGGAAAATTCAGGGAGCGGTTTGCATAAATTGCAATCCAAAAGTTGTAAATCGAAATGTTATACAAATTAAAGTCATCGTTTCAAAAAATTAACTTGTTGTCGACTTATAGGTAATTTTGGTGCCAAGAAAGGGCGTACACAGAGAAAATAGAATCATTGATCATACGAGTGCAGTGCTTGTAGCGGTTCCATGTTCCCAAATACTTACCTTAATCGTATTGTAATGATGATTTGTTTAGGGTCACGGCTGTTTTGGTCTCAGTGTGAGTACATCAGTTACTGAGACTGGAATAATTGTTACCACAATAGCAACATTGTATCTACGACCGGAAAAGTTATAATAAGGCCTGGAATCCACTTTTGAGCCTTGTAAGAACCAAGGTTATTTTTTTCCATGTATAATTGCATTTCAAGCCGACAATTTCAAGACCCGTACATGGCAGATTAAATCTTGAGCTATCATCTTCTCACATAAAAAAGGAAGAGATCATTGCGTGGTTTGTTACTGAGAACGACTACTAGAAAATCGCCCTCGATTAAGATGGATTACTTTTTGCAATAAAGAACCACTATCTCTGGCTCTCCCATAAAAGCATATATCTGCAAAGGAAAGCCAATAGCATGTATGTTGTTTCAAAAAATGGACCAGAGATAGTGATTCCTTATAGCAAAATGTAATCCAAATATCAGACGAGTGGCGACGCGACGTTGGAGACAGCGCGCGGCGCTGGAATACAACTATTCGTACTCGAGGGATGTCCATGTTGCTTGCACGAAAAATTGAAGGCGCTTTCGCTGCGCTCGCGCTTACAACAAGGCACGCGGCGCCTAGCGAGGCTTATTCGTGATCGATTAATATGATCCTCCGATCAGGAAAGGATCTGCGGAGTGCGGAGGGCTCAAGATTCACCTTTTCTGAAGGTTTTTAGTGCCGAAAAACTCGAAATTTTTGGTTCCACAGTGTATTTAAACTAATATTATTAGATATTTATCGAATGCTTAACGATCAAGGCCGGGTCAATCTTCTAACAGTTTCAATTAAAACTGTAAAAGAAAACAGAACTATAGTGGGGTTTCCATGGGAACTAAATATGCAGATGATCTAGGTATCACTAAACTTCAACCAATATAAAAATATGAAAGATAACTGTAAGGAATTAGACCTAAGATATTGATAGATAAAATAAAAAGAGAGAGAAATAAATAAAACTTTCCAAATTTGTACAGTTTTATAAGTATAAACATTGCTGAGCACTTTTATTGAAGAACGTACGATAAATGAGAATATAAGAGTTAAAGACTGTCATGTCATCAAATAAAGGTCACTGAGAAAAATAATGTACCAACTGCGCGTATCTTAGAGCACCTGTTAAAGTCTCAATCGGGAAGGATTGAGTTGGTTCTCAGATCATTTTTAAAAAGTTATTCTGTATCAAGCATGGGAGAAAGCACTTGTGATAAATCTGTGCTCTTAAAAGTTGACGTGAAGTTTCCCGAATCAATTTTTATCATCTTTATCTTTTCATGAATTTGTCGAAATGAAGTGGCTTCCCGACAATTGCTTCAGTCATTTCCATTGAGTTGTGAGTAACTTCATTCCAAAATTCAGATTGCAATTTACGTCGTCTTGTATTTTCCTCGTGTCCTACTTTCCATTGGAGTTATGCTAATATCGTCATGAATATTAAAACTCGATAAGTTTTTCTATTATATTTTCATTTTACTCGTCCTCGCCACTAATAGCCCGTTGATTTAGTATGAGACACCTCAAACATAGGTAAGCCTTAAGCGACCTTATCTGTTCAGTGCTTACTCATGAACGTGTTTTGGTGTTTGCTGAAGTTAGGAGGTTTAAAAGGTGGCAGTGACTAAAAAGCTTAGACAGAGATGGACCTTTTGTTTGCAGCTTGTTTGTGCTTTTGTTTGCAGCAACAAGAAAGAACCGATAAAATCTCCGACATGAGAATGGAAAATTACTTTATTTTATATACATGACACGCACAACGAGAGAAACTTGGTTGTACTGCTTGTGGCTTGTTCAATTTGAATAAATATAAATCTTGTATGCTCTTTTGATACCCTTTATTATGATAATGGAAGTTCCAACGGTTTAAAAATATTGACAAATCTTCAAAATTATAACATAAACAACATTCGAAGACAGAAAAATTATTAATTGGGCCCTAATTTAATTTATACATTCGTAAAACTCATTTATTGATCTAAATGAAGAAGACAACTACGTCGTCTGTAAATATTTTACTTAACTTAACAATAAATTAAATTTAACAGTAAGGGTACAAAGTGTTTTGTTACCAAAGTTGGAAAAACAATAGAACTGAAGAGGGTGGGGTGTTACAATTAGGTGCACTCAGTACAGTAAAAGATATGTTTAAAAGATATGATATGGGTAAAGGAGCTAAATAATACAATTTAGAGGGAATGGGGGCTTGCAAAACAGATTACGAGGTAAATTCGCTTCAAGATGAAAATTGTCAAGTAATTACAAACCTAATATCAGCAAATTAATGACTGTGTGCGTATATAAGTGCTCCTTTTATTCATGGGATCCGAAACGCACAAGGAACAAACTGGTATAAAATGAATAAACACACTCATTAATTATCTAGGGTGACAAGAAAGTGCATTCTCTCTTACATGCTCGATGTTCGGGAGGCTCTTCGCAAAACGTTTAAGCATTTTATTTTCGAAATAATTTCTCATTTCTCGCTGTAGTTGTTACGGACATACCATTCTTCGGTCAAAAAAATATATTAAGTTTAATACGTAAGTATAATAGAGGGTACAGTTGTTATCCTTTTGCTTAAAAACTACTATATTTATAAAAAAAGGAAATAATCTGATAAATTACGTGAAGGGTTTCATGAATTTATATAGAAACTTTATGCCACCGTCAATAATCATTGGAAATGTAAATGAAAAGAAACTAAAGGTAAATAGATACATAAAATGCATGAATCGTACATTTTTCTAGAGTTTTGCTTCTGACGGCCACCATCATTGAGTTCATTGATTTTACTGGAGGAGAGAGATAAGAATACTCTCATATTCCTTCCCTCTTCCACTCACATCGATGATTGATTCTTGAAAAAAATTCTTGTGATATTTTTTTTTTCAAAGGAAAACTTATGCACTTTATTTCCTGGGCTTATTTCTGAATCATCCTCATTCCACGCAGAAGGTAAATATTAGGTAAAAATTAGGTAAAAATTTCAAACGATGACATTCATTCTTTCTTCATCAAAACAATGAAAAGATGGACTTTAATGTTTTCCGGCTTTCATTTTTGGTATGTGTGATTTGTTTTATGCGGTTTTTTACAGTATGAGAGAGGTAAAAAATTGTGGCGTGGCATGAACAATCGATTATCGATATTTTCCCATTTGAAGCTATGGTAAAGAATCGATTATTAAGGTGTTCGTTCCGAACACACTGTTTATCGACTCTTTTCCATAAGTTTAAATGGCAGATTAATCGATAAATCGCCAAGCACGCCATATTAATAGTGCTGGTGGTGCGGGACTTTTGGACCACCCTAAAACTGGCCACGAAAATCGTTTTCATGTGAAATTTTGAAAAGAAATGCATATAGCAGTGCTTGAATTTCGTCCATTGACCCTTGTATCACATAAATGGAACCCCGATGAGCCATTGAAGGGTTTTCATTTTTGAAAAAAAAGTAAGGTTATACACTTGAAGATGATTAACGTCCATTTCATGGACAAAGTAATTTGTTTAGTGTTGCTACAGGGTTATTCAGAAGTCACGCACCTCTGGCCATAACTTTAGTTCTAATTATGCCATCGATTTGCGGTTTAAGACGTTTTTCCTCATATTGAGGAGGAAACTTGTTTAGGTACTTTCCAGTTTTTGATCTCCTCGGGGGGAGGGGGTCGGGGGGCAACTCAGAAATTTCTAATGGCCACCCCCCTCATGGCCAGTAGTACGTAAATTTTGAATAACCCTGTATAAGTCGGAAAAATGTGAGAATTTTCAATGAAATGGCGCAGTGCTTATTTTTGAGCACTATAAACCTAGATGAAGTAACACCATGTCTCAGGAACGTACACAACTTTCGTTTACAAACTTTTTGACGACGTCTCACTAGGAACAGAGCCTTTTATTTTAACCGTGGAGGATTTTATCATATGATTCGACATTTTCAATAAAATAACCCATTTTTAGATACCTCGGATCAGTGATCAAAAAGGGTAAAGCTCTTGAATTTTTTCTCGCAAAAAAATTTAGATTACAAATTCAGCAATAATAATTTGGAGGTAGGTAGGTACAGGTAACAAAGTATTTCTTAGAACCTAACAATACAAATCTTTCGGAGTAAGCTGGATATCAATTAGGATTTACATTTTAAAAAAAGTCAAATTAAAAAATTTTACTGCTCTGTTGCATGCTTACTAAGAAGTGACTGGTCTTCATTATTATTTTTCATTTCTTGAAAAATCTTGGAGGAAAAATGGAGAGAGAATAGAGCTATGACAGTAAATGCATAATCAGCTACCTTGGAACTGGTGATCAGTGCTCAATTATTTCCGTCAATTACATCTTAGACAGTCATTCAACTAAATCTTGATTTCGGCATTTACTCAATATCTTCCCAGTAAAAATCATGCAATCCGAATTTCCAGACACGAGCTTGAATCGATTGGCTCCCTTATGCGGGGAAAAATATACCTAAAATACATCAACGTCGAACATATCCAGTGAGTTAATAGGGTCATGAACGTAGTCTTGCGAGAGGCTGACGCAGTTTTTGGGCGTGCACGCTATTCGGCCCTCGTCGGTGCATTGGCATTGTAGACAGCTCCCTGTGTCGCGAGGCAAAATTTCACCCAGCTGGTATTCTACACCTACATAAAACAAATTCACCAAGGTTAAATTTGACAAAGAAAGGCACTAGAAAAACATCTGCGGGCTGATTATTATTGGAATTGATAGACAAAGCTATAGACAAAGAGGACAATGGGAAAATAGAGCAATCCTACGGCTGAGACGGATGATGTCTCGGACTAAGAGGACTAACTATAGGGTCTCTCGTCGGTTGCATTTAGTTACTCTATTACTTACCTCCTCCTGCCACTGCAACCATCCGCTTCAACAAATAGAATCGCTCATTGCTCGATTTTCCCTGTGTATCTGTGTCTATCGCTTTGTCCATCAATTTCAATAATCAGCCCTCTGGCAAGTGCACGCTCGCCATAGATAAAATGCAGAGGGCGGTGGCAAAAGTGTTAACTTTAGATTCGGTCGAGACGTAGAGATATACATCGCCGTATCGGTCAACGAGAATTCGGCTACAGCAAGGCGCAGACACTTCTTTACGCCGTACAAGATCCAACTTCGTCACGACCCTCTATAGACATCCATTTGCTCAGTGCGAAATAAAAAAAAAATTACATTTCTTGCCGCTTACAATACAGCGAGCTCATCTAGGAATTATCACCTGTCATTAGCCGCAGCATCATGGAAATCGGCCCAGTAGAACGCTTAAACGAACCATGACAAGAAATAAAAATTTACATTGTTTAAATGGGAGAATTCGCAACTTTACCACGTTATAAGACCTGGGTCATATTTTCAAAATCTGAATAAAGCTGGCTCATCTAGAGATAATTAAATGTGGATAGCCGCAAAAATCATGAAAATCGGCCCGGTAGAACGCTGGAACTAAGCGTTACCAGTTATGCAAAATTAGGAGGTCTCGGAGCTCGTAGTATAGATTGCGTTTTTCGAATAGATAACTATTCGCGCTCTACGGCTTGTTCGTTGCCTATTCGCAGAAATTGAAGGCGAACTCCAAACGGAAATCTGCAATTATGATGCCTATTTGCCAAAATTGAAGGCGAACTTCAATCGGACAACTGTCATTATGTTACCTATTCGCCGAAATTGAGAGCGAACTACAATCGGAAACCTGCAATTATGTTGCCTATTCGCCTGAAATAGAACACTGGAACTAAACGTTACCAGATATGCAAATTTAGGCGGTCTTGGAGCTTATACGTAGTATAGATGATTAATTACCTAGGACAATACAAGATGTGGGCTGAGCGGTGGAAATCTGAGCTGTGGACGGAGGGAGCTCCGTCGTTTGGTTTTCCTCCGAGGTGAACGTGGCCGATATCATCGTGGAAGACTCCCGCGTCATGTCGCTTCCGCTTTCCTCGCTCAGCGGCGACAATGTTATTGCTTTGGAGGTGTTTTGTGCTGCGCATAAAAATTACGAGCCATTAGCCATCATCACGAGGAGAAAACATCCAGTTGGAGTCAAACGAACATATCTTCCCGTGCTAAGGAAAAACGCCGCATGAGCCTTCAGACGTTGCCGAGTTTCCTTCGATAAAAACTCGAATTACCGGGGAAATTGTGAATATTATTTTCCAAAATTTTCGGACAATTTTGTACGCAATTTAATCTATGTAATATCTGAAAATTTCAAGGAAAAATATGCATGAATGCTGTCAAAAATACATGTTTTATCAAGGAAAATTTGGCCACTCTCGAATATTCAAAGGGCGTTCTCCCTTAGCACGGCAGATTTGCTTTTCATCCAGTGTTCGAAACTCACAGGCGCCAACGCGCCAAATGTGCCCAAGAAATCGGTCATGGCGCTTCAAAAATGAAGGCTCTGCGCCATCGTGGCCCCTACAAATTGCCCTCCCCCCCCAAAAAAAAAATATAGTTTTTCTGTTTTGAATTTTCTGAATTTTTGAAATTTCCCCTAAGTAACAGCTACTAGTTCTGTGACTAAAACATCTTGCGTCCAACTTGTCACTAAATGCGCCGACATACATAGACCAAAATTCAATTTGGCCCCTAAAAAATCCTTAATGGCCCCTAAAAATCGACCTTGATGCGCCATATGGCTCCTGAGACTCCAATGTGAGTTTTGAATTGATATGCATCGCTTCTCTGTGACGAAATACTACTACTGTTTGTATAGGAAGAGTATAGAGATCCTCAGAATAAAAAGCTAACGGCGCACAGTGGATCGAGTCAATTAAAGAGGTTGGATATGAAAATTCTGACTAAAACCGCAAATTTTTATGTTTATTTTGTCACATTTTACATTTCAAGGGGTGTTTATGGACGAAAATCACAAGAGAAAACCAATGGAACCACTTTTAGAACCTCAAAATTTTGTATACACGGAGTTATAAGCGTTTAAAATCTCCAAATTTTGTCCGACCTCTCCCATTGACTCGATCCACTGTGCGGCGGTGACTCCCAATGGGAGTGGGTGAGAAAGGTTTGCCACCAACTTTTGACGTTTATTACCAGCTACCAAAGAGGATGATCGATTGAGTTCCTCCTAGGAGGGGACGAAGGGGACGCCCAGTAAAAGGGTGGCGACAGAGCGGTGTATTTTGATTGAGGAAATGTCAACTCCCTGAAAGGCTTTAGAAGGATAGGGATTGTGGCGGTTGGGCGTCGGTGAGCGCTAGAGAGCGCTGTGAAAGCCGTTCCTATGTACATATATATTTAGAATTTTAGATCCTTTCCAAAATACAATCAAAAGTTTACCTGATTTTCACGAAAATATTACCTTGAGTTGGACGAACCGAGGTCTCGTTAGTCAAAGGGGGCGGTGATAGACACAGCTCCGGTTGCCAGTAGCAAAACATTTCTCTATCAATACACAGACAGAAGTCACACGGATCTTTCCTCACGATCTGGAAAACAGAATGAAAAATATTCATAGTGAGGGTAAGAATGGTATGAGCAAAAAGAAATGATGTCGCAAACGTTGGATTATCCGGGTATCTCTGCAGAGGTGAGGACCAAGATGTACCATTTCACTTTGGCCAGGTTTAGCCGTTTCCAATACGTTCAAAGTGTTTTGCATTTGATGTGGGAACATGTCTTGAGCTATACTTTAATTCTCGCCCTCAGTGTGACCCTTTTGTCACGAAATTTTGATTTCGACACGAGATGGACCACTACACTGCCGTGCTCACAGACACAATGGCGGAGCACTCGTTTCTAATGACACAGGGGAAAAGTGAGGCTAGGCCTGTCGCTCTGTGTTTATGAGTGCGTTAAAGAGTGCGGGAACCCATGGCGGCAAACGGAAATTTGATTTGAACTTGTCCTTTTGATTTTCGAAACAGAGCACAGGGAGAATTTCCTGCGCCGTCGGCAGCGCGCATGGGGCACGACTTGCCTTCCAATTCTAGCTGGAGCGCAATTGGACTGCATTTTGCAATTTGGACCTATAAATTCTGGCTCATCTGAAAAAACACTTATGTGCATAGAGAAACTAATGGCACATACGTTGTTTTTAAACCGGGCCGGAATTTATAGGTCCAAATTGCAAAATGCAGTCCAATTATACCACTACAAAAATGTGAACGGAAATCGAAAAGTCCAGCGTGCATGAAGGCTATTTTAATTGGGCTGCATTTTGCAATTTGGAACTATAAATTCTGACTCTCCTGGAAAACCACGTATGTGCATGGGGAAACTAATGGCACATACGTTGTTTTTAAACCGGGCTGGAAATTATCGTTCCAAATTGCAAAATGTAATCCAATTGCAATCTTCCGTCACATTCTTACGGCGCAATGATACAACTATTTGAACTCTCCGGAATGCGTGAGGTATCACGCCGCATTTGAAGGCGTTTTCAAAAACAGCCAAGTTCCGATACCCGGATTATCGTTTTGCATGGTTCATATCATTTTGTTTTCATTTCTAACCACTCGTTTATTCTTAATCCTCGTATAAAAACCACCCATTTGCTAAATACAATTCTAGCTGGAGCGCACTTAAGCTGTGCATTTACCCTTGCAAAAATGTGAACGGAAATCTATAAGGCGAGCGTGCATGAAGGCTATTTCAATTGTAATCTTCCGTCACATTCTTACGGCGCAAGGATACGACTATTTGAACTCTCCGGAATGCGTGAGGTATCACGCCGCATTTGAAGGCGTTTTCAAAAAGAGCCAAGTTCCGATACCCGGATTATCGTGTTGCATAGCTCATATTATTTTGTTATATTCCGTGCCACTTGTTAATTTTTAATCCTCGTATAAAAACCACCCATTTGCTAAATACAATTCAGGAGCTTTCCGGATAAAAGGCACATACCGAAAAAACAAGTTGTGAGAAAAACTCATTTGAAGTCGTCATTCTACTCTCTGGGCTTTGATGATGACATACATCGGAACTAGTGCACTCATATCAACGTTCATACACCGTAGAATGAATAACGACCATTGGTAAAACTTACACTTCTTTCCGTGTTGTGGGAGGAATTTTTTAAAATTTTCCGTTATGTGCCCTTTTTCCGGAAATGGACAGGTGGTTATAGGTTTTGGCTTTCAAAGCTAAATTTTCAAGACTTTAACGGGTTTCTAAACGAAAATAAATCATAATTTCGATCGCGAACGTGCGGGTGGATCATTTTCGACCATCGTTGATAAAAAAGACAGCAGGGTCATTCCACGCCTAGGTAGTCCGGGGGGTATTTTTTTTCCCCCCTGCGAATGACCCAACAATATTTATTTTTGGACTCCTTAATACCTACTCCTAGTTTTTGGAAATATATGGGGTTTACATCCGTTTTGTTTTTTTTCTCGCAATTTTCACGTGTTTTGTAACCCCATTGGTTAGCTTCATCAAACTGTAAAAAGAGTGACAGTTTGGTAGCAATATTTTCTGGTGTTCCCGCCAAAACCAAGTTTCAGTTTATGTTTGCAGTTGTCAAGAAACTGATTCAATGTGCTCCTGCAAAGTTTCAATTTTTAAAAGTAATTACTGTGTATTATATGTAACTTTTAAAATTTAGTGTACTGACTGTCACACCCGTTACGCAAAACATGGGTTTTTTAATGTAACCATTTCAATTCATGTTATTTTGAGATGCTAATTTTTTCCGTACGTCTTCAAGTTAAGTACAGCTTTGGAGTATTTTTTCGAAATTTTTATTTCAACAATTGATAGGCAAAACTGCGTAACGGGTGTGACCAATGAGAAGAGGCTTCAATTATGCAGATGTTGCCTCACTTCTCACCATTTTTTCTATGGTTATCACAAGAAATACACTCATATGCACAATTAGAGGTATGTATACATCTAATAAGAGAGAGATAGCCAACTTTTTTGCCATATTTCAGTATTTAAAGTGAATACACCTATCTCAAAAGGATTTCAAATAGAACTCGTTGAACTCTCTCCGATTGGATTGAAATATTTTCACTTTACTATAGGCCTAGACCTACCGTACCAGGATTTTTTTTGGGTTAATTTGGATCATGCGAGGTCCAGGACCGCGGGGACGAAAGGGGAATCCTGGGCTACCCGAAGAAAAACCCTGGGACGGTAGGTCTGGGCCACCCTGTAGAAAAATGTAGTTTTGGCATGTTCTACATTAAAATGCGTCAAATTGCTGATTGATTTACTGCTTATGATTGCCTACAATAAGAGTATGAAAAGAAAAGTAAGTTTTTTAACTTTTAATTTCTCTCAGAAATGATGGACCTCAGAGAGACAATCTGTCACACCCGTTACGTCACACCCGTAACGCAAACGGTAGGTCTGGGCCATTTTGTAGAAAAATGTAGTTTTGGCATGTTCTACATTAAAACGCGTCAAATTGCTGATTGATTTACTGCTTAGGATTGCCTGCAATAAGAGTATGAGAAGAAAAGTAAGTTTTTTAACTTTTAAGCTCTCTCAGAAATGATGGACCTCAGAGAGACAATCTGTCACACCCGTTACGTCACACCCGTTACGCAAACTCTCCCATTTTTCAAGGAAAGAAAAAAAGATAATCGAAAACGGATCATCGGCAGATGAAGCAAAAACCCTTGGCTTCATCATATAATTTAATCAGATTTTTAAATTCATAAAATTCGCTGAGTTTCCACTTTACACTCACTGAGGAAAAACTCACTTCCAAAATCGGTCACGCCCGTTACGCAGCCTTTTAATTCTTTCCTGAGGAATGGAACAAAGTAAAAACAATTTCTGATAAACTAAAATGATCTATAAAAATAGTTCTTTCTGCTACTGCAGATAATTTTTTAATTAAACCCCAAGAAAGAGTTCAAATTCTTGTTTAAAGTTAAATTGTTGTCACACCCGTTACAATGGAATGACCCAGCAAAACACGCGAAAAAGTCGGAAAATTCAAACCCACAAGAGACCATTAAAAAAAGAATTATTAATAATTACAAAATGTCACGTGTCACCGGTGCAACGCGTAGACAATCACTGCAACCCGATGATATTGCATTGATTAGTAGAATCAGTGCGATGCATCTGTAGTGAGGGATCCTTACTCATATTAGTACCCATCACCTGCCTGCCTGCCTGCGCCGTGCGCGCTATGTCCGCAACGTCGCGTCGCGGCGACCGTACCCAGGGGCAAATAGTTGAAATACGCCTGACTTAGCTTCACAAAACTTGGTGTCTCAGCTCCAAAAATTGATCAATTAAGCTGAAACTCGGGACATTGGTACATTAGGATACGAGGAATCCGTATCTGCCATTTCCGGAAAAAGGGCACATACTCGTATGTGCCCCTTTTCCGGAATGCTCCTCAATTCCACTTCATCTAGCGTTGAGAATTCACTTAGTTATTACTTCATTACTTCACACGATCAGTGTATAATTTTAAAAGTCGAAAATTAAACAAAAAGGAAAAAAATTAAAATTTAAAAAAATTTACACGGTATACGAGTTTCTCCGCCAGGGAGCTCTCCCCGCAAGAAATCGTTCACAACCCGCCCGTCGCGGCGGCGTGCTGCCAGTGCGAAACGCGCACCGACGACGCCTACAAACCTAAAGGGATACTTCAAGCATTGCGCAATGCGCGAAGTAGCCCTTTAGGTTTGTAGGCGTCAGTGCGCGTTTCCAGCTGGCAGCGGCAGGGGCCGCCGCGCCGCGCCGTACGGCGGATGCAGTCAATGGTAGAGGTCGGTCATGGGCGACGAAAAAAAAAAATCAGATTTTAAATAGTTTTTCTTGGTTTTCTAGTAGTTAAGCTTTTAAAATGAATTTATCCATGTTTCAATGGTCTTTGAACCCTTCCGCTTTGGCATGCGGGTTGCCTAAAGCTGACATTGCAGGTATGGTATCAAATTTGCCGTCTGATTCTCAAGGTTTTATTTCGCTTTTGCATGAGTTCTGTGGCAGATATATCATTTCAATTAAGCATGCTTATTCTTCTTCCTTTAAGGAACATTTTGGTATATCATTATTGTGCATTGGCACATTTTTAGGAGGACCAAAACTTGCGTTAAAAAAACGCCCAAAAAATGTTAAGATACCTTGATAAAAAAATGCCCACAAGTGTCCACAAAATCCTTTGTTGAGTTGCTTCTTGTACACTATCAGCAAGGATATTTATGTAATAGTTAGCCGCTTATATCCGCTAATCTGCGAAAACGGTCCATTTGAATGATAGGAAGCCACGCCTGCTGGGAATCCGATCTTGCTCTACACGGAAAAAACGAGCTTAGGGTTGGGACCTACATGTTAGTGCTGGGCACTAACGAGGGTTAGATCAAATGGAGCCAGCAAGTCAGAGGAGTGCTGGGCACTAAACAGCTCGAGGCTGGGTCACTAAGGAAAAAGTAGTGTCAAGCCCTAAAGTGACTTTGGAGCGAGCGTAAAATATGAAACGCCTCCGCCTGGGATCGAACTCGGGTTGCGCCGGTGGAAGACCAGCGCGTTACCACTAGGCTATTGTGACTCCGACGTCTCATGGGTGAATTTACACCTGTTAAGCGCAACTACGTCTCGCGGCATCTGATTAGCACTACTCATGTTCAGTGCCCACTGGTACTGCCTTCCGATGTTGAGCTGTACAGCGCTTAGACGCCAGCCCTCAACTACTCCCCACTAAACGGCCAGTAGTGCTCAACACTAGTCTTGTTTTTTCCGTGTAATGTCATCAATAAAATCGTGCATCACACGATATCCTTCAATCTCGGTAATTTTTCTGCTGATTACTGATTCTGGCTGATTTGTTGATATTTTGACGAGACATTAACTACCTGTTAGTCTATGAAGCTAATTTGATATATACTTTTTGTGTGTGATAATAACTGTTTCGGGAACTTCAGGAGAAATTGTGAACAAAATTACAATTAAATTGAAAGGAAAATAGTCATTAGTTCACGAGGAAATTAATTTTTTATTCACGGTAATTTGGTAACGTCTGAAAGTTCATACGGCGTTTTTCCTTGGCACGACAGTGCAGTGGTCCATCTCGTGTCGAATCAAAGTTTCGTGACCTTTATCATGGGCGAAATGAGTTCAAGTGTGAAATCGCGATAACTCTGCAGAATATTGTGATTAGAAGTAGGTCACAGGGACCCAACCCAACTCTTCGTCTCGAACACCTGACCGCATAGCCACGACGACCGCCTTGAGGTTTCGTGCCCTGCAGGGACAGCTTCGCAATTGGGGATAGGGATGAAGGGATGGCTGAGAGGTCAGGACTGATAACGAGGTTGTTGACGGAATAACCGAAATTCATCAGGAATCATCTAAACCGCGCTCGAAATCAAACGAGCGTTGAAGAGAGGCATAAACACCGGGTAAAAGATATTTGATGTTTAATCCCAAGATGGTCGGTCATCTTCCAGCCGAAGGACATATATCACAAGCACCCTGCGACGTTTAGACATTTCCACCGCCATTTCATTTTTTTATGGAGAAATTGTTCGTTGAATCTGTTGGAAAATTTCACTGAATTTCATCGGCAGCACAAAGAAAATTCAGCGAAATATTCGGACAGCCTCGTGTAAAAATTTCTCCGTAAGAAAAATAAGTGACGGCGGAAATTGATAAACGAGAAACTTTGAACATTCTTGGTCAACATCATTGAACAGGGCCACTCACATAGGATACAGAAGAGCTCCTTCAACCCACTCCGTAATCTCAATGTAATATTCTGATACTACTATTCATGCATGACGACAGTCATTCTACATAGAGGGCTAATTAAAGGCAAATCATTGGTCCAGACAACAGGGTACTAATATCAGCAATGTCAGTTGCCAATGTGATACGTAATTTTTAAGGAGCAAAGCCTCCGGGGGCAGCTCCACCAAGTAACCCAACCCTTGGTGGGGTGCTTTCCTTGCCATCCAAGATCCCCAACCCCCAGGAGATGCCCCACTTGGCATCCAAGGAGCCCAACCCATCGGGGGCTGCCCTCCTGGCTTAGTTGCGCTAGTTACAAAATCGTGATTTGATATAGTTTGAATTTTGAGATTAGCAAAAATCAACAAGATCCGTCCAAACACCAAGTTTGCACGTTCAATATCATCGGAGATGTCGCTAAGTGACAAACATGGCTTATGACATCATCTCTTGAGGTGGTGTATATTATGTATCTTTGTTTTTCCAAGTACATTGGTCTCGTCAATCAATGATACACACACACTGACCCTTTTGGAGGTCAGAGACGACTGAAACAAGGTAGAGGAAACCATGATATGTCCCACAGTGGAAGAGATGGCGTCATACGCCATAATTTTCAATGAGCTACATGGAAACTTGGCGCTTGAATAGATTTTATTATTTTTTGCCAGTCTATAAGCTGAAACTATCACGACTAGCGCAACTGACCCATTCAAGAATATTTCTGTGTAAGTTGAGTCACTTTTCTCCAAATGAAAGCCTGTTTTTCATAAGTAGGGCTGCATGGATAGGCACGTATGTTCAAAAATCTAAGGCATGAGTCATTTAAAGATCGAGGCAACAACTGCAGTCAAACTAATTGACGAAATAAAGGTGTCATGAAAACTAATTGATAAATTTCAGGCGAACTAGGCACCTTCATACATATTGCCCATTTGTGGAAGCTTTATTTTCATCTCCGATGACTTTTGCGGTCCGGCAGCGGGATGTTTGTGGTTAGACACCAAGGGAGCCATTCATGTGAAAACGCGTTTAATCAAAGCACATCTGAGCACTGCCAATGAAAAAGCAATATATTTACATTTACGGCCAGCTAGGCAGAATCGCAATTTATTCATTAATCTCCCCGAGTGTTACACTGATTTCACAGATGAATGGAGCATTTTGGGGTTTATGTGAGAGATCACATCCGCTGCGACCGTACTGAGGAAGAACATCGTAAGTACATTTGGAATTTGCCATATTTCCATCGATAAAATGTAATTCTTTGGGTAAAATTATGAATGTCTCTCTCTCATTTTTTCCAGAGGATTTGATTTTACTGAGACAGAAAGTCCAAATAAAAACCACTACTCTCATGGTATGCTCTCTTTGGTACACGGCACTTAAGTAAAACGAATAAAAATGAAAGTGCACAAAAAAATTGACAAGCATTTAGAATTACAAATGGAAAAAAGAACACGTCGAGGGTCTGAAAAGCTGAAAATATTATATAGATATTTTTGAGATGATGTTACTTTTACTCTCTGTACTATTAAAAATATTGACCATGGTATCTGTGAGAGGACTTTAAACCAGTAGAGCTTCTTTAAAGCCCTGAGAGAAAAAAAAAACCAAAAAAGGGAAACATTTTAAGGCCAAATAACTTTGAATGATAGCGACTGCATTAAAGATCACCATGGGATATGAAAACGCCTTCAAACAGCCGGGTAGATTACCACCGCACGATGCATATGTAACTAAACTTGCCTATCTTAAAGATTCAGGCGCTTCAATTCGCAGAATTTTCTCTTTCCGCGGGTACTTATACCCGAATTTACGAGTAATACAAGTGAAATCAATTATTTTCCAAATTTTTATCTCTTCGAAGAAAACTTAACTATATATTTCATCCATGGCATGAAGTCATGAGGATACTTTTAGGATGTTTTTAGGACTTTAAAAAAAAACGTTTGAAAATTCAATAATTCTAAATGAAATTACCTGCTGACCGTGGCGGTACCAATGTCCTTCAACTCGACAGGAACTTTTATCTTGGCTGGGTTCAGTTTTTCTTAAATTTGAACTTTCTCGAATGTTTTCTGTTCTGCTCTCGTTCGAGTCCGCCGGCGCTGCACCAGAAAACAAAAAAACAAAAATAAATAAATAAATAAATAAATAAATAAATAGATAAATAAATAGATAAATAAATAGATAAATAAATAAATAAATAAATTAGACCACACTAATGACTCTCTCCCTACTTAAAGTATAAGGTTGTTTTCCATGGCGACATGCAAGCTGCATAGGAATTACAATACCATGTGTAGTAATTACATTAAAGTTGGTATTTTTTCACCAGTGGGAAGTATTAATCGCCTGATAATATCATGAGGGTATACGAATTCCTCTAATTTTACATCCTTTGACAATATCAAATGAGCAATCAGTGTAAAAGTTCGATGAGGAAACATTTTTCCTGGCTCCGTAATTTTTGTCATTTCTCGTAACCAATGTACTTGCTCAATAAATAATTAATTATTGCATTTTTGAAATTGAAAGAGAGTATTTAGCTCCCTGGAATTTTTCTTGATTTTTTTGAATGACATTGAACTACAAAAAGCGAGTTCAAAGTTGCGTATTTTCAGCTTCCATTTGAACTACTTCGATTTCAACGCGCACAGCAGAAAAATCAAAGATGTCGTCTAAAAAGAATTTGTCGCGTCGAGAGGACACTTTTGACCTCACATATCCTCTGTCACGATCCATAAGCCCTGCACGAACGGCTGCACAGATCATAATTTGGTCATATTTATGCTAAAAGGAACTATGTGCATAGGGATTGCGTGTGACATAGTTCCTTTTAGCAAAAATACGTCCATTGTGGCTAAAAGGTAAAAGTCCCTCGATCTATGCATAGAATACTCGTGACCGAACAGACATCTTTGGACGCCATCTCGGCTCCTTCACTGAAAAAAAATTTTCGGCGTTTTTACCAAGGTCCGTTGGTACCTTTACCATCTCACTTGTTTTACCAATTATTGGTAATTTTACCAAGACAGACTGGTAAGCTTACCTAAAAACCGGTATTTTTACTGTTTTTTTTCGGGTAAGAATACCACTTTTATTGGTAATCAATTCCCAGTAACTTTGCCATTTTATCTCGGTAATTCTACCACAGTCGATAGAAAATATTGGCGTTTTTACCAACGTCCAGTAAAATTACCGAGAAATTTCAATAATTTTACCGAGATTTCTCGGTAAAATTACCAATTCCATAAATGGTAATTTTACCAAGAAAAAACTGGGATCAAATAGAACCCTGGATTCTTGGTAGTTTTACCCTCAACTTAGTAAATATACCGAGATTTTTTTTTCAGTGTTCGGCGACGCGCTCTCAAATGTAAGCTCAAAGTATGCAACTTTTAACTTGTTTTTCAGGAGTTAATATTCACGAAAAAAGCCAGTAAAATTTCTGTGAGCCATGTGCTCTCTCTACTTTTCAAAAATGCAAGAATTGAAAATTACCGGACAAGCTCATTGCCCGGGGGAATAAATAAGGTATGAGCTTGCCTAACTTCGTCAGCACCTTCACTCCTTCAAACTGAACGCGGCGACTTCCAAATTAACGAGATCCCGCTCGTGCAGAATGTTGACAGACCGAGAGGGGAAATAAAATCCAGACACGGGAGTCATTTCCGACACCGTTCGCAATCCTCTAAAAGCATCGGAAGAAATTACAAATGCGCTACCGTCAAAAAGCTTTGCTGAGCCACGAGGAAAAAATAGGGTGCTCGAAAAGTTTGCGCCAATGTGCTTGCTTTTGATCCCAATGCTTCAGTCGTATAGACACATATTGGATCGTGTTCATGTCGCGTGGGGGAGCATCGAACTTGATTTCAGCGTTGAAATTTTTCACACTCCACTCTGATCTTAGAGAAAACTAGTAGGTATCCCCCCCCCCCCTACACGACACAACCCTAGCACAACCGTGCTAAGGAAGAACGCCGTATGAGCATTCAGGCGTTGCCGTATTTCCTTCAATAAGAAACGAATGTACTAGGAAGATTCTGAATATTTTTCCTCCAATTTTTCAGAAATTTTTCTCGTAATCTTTTAATACATATTTTTCTTTCAAACAATTTAAATGAGAATAATCCATTCAGAGTGTGCAAACATTTCAAATATTAGAGCCAAACAGAGCGGAGCTTTTGCAAATTAGACCTTAGATCATTTTATATTGTTAAACAAACTCTATGTGTGTGGGTGGGATGGGCGGTGGGCCGGGGGCCTTCCCGCTGGGGTATCAAGCAGTCGTAAGAGGAGTACTGCAAGTGCCAAAGGGCTAACCATGCCAAGGGCCATTTTTCTCCCATTCTGTTTGATCGCCTACACGGCGGGTTGCCCCCCGGCTCTCCGCTCGCTCCCGTACGCCTCTCCACGAAGAGCAATTTCTTTATCTTTCCTATTATGTCAAAGGATGGGGCATTACATGCCTCATACCAAATGATAAGATTGCTCTTATCATCTGTTCTTTCTTTTTCCTTATAACCTTTAATCAATATTGTTAAAACTAGTCGATAGATACCCTCTGNCATTCAGAGTGTGCAAACATTTCAAATATTAAAGCCAAACACAGCGGACCGGCCCAGCGTGCTGCCAGCGTGACACGCGCGCTGACGCCTTCAAACCTAACCGGGATACTTCACGCATTGCGCAATGCGTGAAGTATCCCGGTTAGGTTTGAAGGCGTCAGCGCGCGTGTCACGCTGGCAGCACGCTGGGCCGGTCCGCTGTGTTTGGCTTTAATATTTGAAATGTTTGCACACTCTGAATGGATTATTTTATATCTGGATAATAATCTATCTATAATGGATAATATAAACTAAAATATCTGAGAATTCCAAGGGAAAATATGCATAACTTCCTTCAAAAATACATGTTTTATTCGGGAAAATTTGGCATCTCTCGAAGGCTCATACGGCGCTCTTCCTTGGTATGCTAGAGCAGGTGCTTCGCGGGCCTCCAGGCGGGCTCCTATAGTGACTATTTCCAATCGACAGCCAAATATTAATGATAATCGGCGCGGTAGATTTTTTAAAAAAAAAACCCGTGACGAAAAATGAACATTTACTTTGTTTAGACGGGAGAATTCCAAACTTGATCACGTAATCTACAAAAAACCTGAGCTATATTTGCCAAATCTGAACAGAGCGGGCTCAAATGGACGTATTTTTGTTGAACGGAACTAAGCGCCAAATTGAGTTCCTTTTGAGGATTTTAGAATCCCGGATAGCGCGTTCTGTCAACCGGAACTAAGCGCAGCGCCATGTAAAAGCATTGCGAGTATAGGACGGAACGAGCATCGCATTCCGCGACACCCACCATTCCAAGCCCCCCTCTCCCTTCCTCTCCCTATGGCGCTTAGTTCCGTTTGATAGAAATAATTCAAACTAGCACTCAATCACTTATCGCTGTTGCCGCAAAAATAATGAAAATCGGCCCAGAGGAACGCTAGAACGAATTGTGACGAAAAATAAAAATAGGGGCGCAGAGAGCTTATGGTTATGATGATATAGTATAATAATGATATTATAGGTCAATGTGGATCTTGAGCACTTGGAACGATTCTGTAGTCGATTGATCAATTGATAGTTTCAGGCTTTTAAGACATTTCATAGGAATTTCCAAGCATCATACTGTAGGTACAATGCGTCAGGTACTAGTACTCAAAATTTGCGCAAGAAGCACTTTGGAATCATTCAGAAAGTACGCCTCGATTGAATATTGCGTGTTATTTTACGTTTCGATTTACGATATTCACTTGTGACGTAATTTTAAAACTACAAATATCTCAAACTTTTATTTTATCAAATAGAGCATTTGCAGGTGTCTGAAATTTGATAAATTTCGTGTTTAAGTGGAAACTACTGAGTGATCCGAACACGAGGATAGCCTTGGTTCATGAATTGAACAATTATTGGAGAAGATATGACAAAATAATCTAATCTGCTAAAATACGTTTGTTTCCAGGGGCAATGCAACCAGATGACGTCACTAGGCGGTGCATTTTCTCTCTTTTAAATCTATTTTTATATTATCTCCCGTATCAAAAAAAAATTATGAAAAATACCGTGAAATCAGCTCTTTAAGCATTTTCAGATGAAGCAAATAATTTGCATGCAAATCCTCCATTGTGTGTATAAATACTTGTCGCATTACAGCGTGCACTGGAAAAAAAAACGCATTGGATCTAGAGTCCAGACTCTTAACATTGACAAGAAAAAGGACTCTTGATGGTTTAATCAGATTTAAGCTCAAATCCAAAGGATATCCGCTCAAATTAAGAGGCTTGGTTCTTGATTTAAGCTTAAATCTGATTGAATCAAGAGTCCTTTTTCTTGTCAATGTTTTCAAGAGTCTGGACTCCAGATCCAATGTGTTTTTTTTTTTTCCAGCGTGATGATTTATGCTGAGTATGCATGATTTTTCTTACAAAAAAATATAATGCCGCAAAACATTCAGGAACGCTTGCATTTCCATGTGTTTCGCTTTTCTGACACGACGGGCGCGACGGGCGGGTGAGTACTGGAAATACACCTGACAGTTCATTCTATGACCATTCAATTCAAAGGCAACGTCAGTTTCATGCCGTAAAGCGACAACAGCGCCCTCTGACGAGCAGCGACGATTACTTTCCTCGGAAGGGATCGGGTGGTATCCCGCAAAATCGCGTGCATATTCCTGCGACGGAACGGATGTAATGAGGGTTGCTCAGCTTTTCCATAATTATTTCTTTTCCCTTAAAAGCTTCCTTCCGTCTTTCAACAATTTTTCCTCTCTCCAGACTCAACTCAATCTCTTCCAGTGCAGGAAATTCTAATTAAGAAGTCCCTCCGTGTGATCAAGCTCCGAGGCTCTCTTAGCAGCGTTGCCATTTTGTATCAATAATTCGTCAAAACTGGATGTGATCAATCATTCAAGATACGAAAATAGTAGCAAAAGTATGATATGTCTATTCTGCCGTCCCAAGGAAAAACGCCGTATGAACCTCCAGGCGTTGCCAAATTTCCTCTGATAAAATACGAATTTATTGGGGGAAATTGTAAATATTTTTCTTCCGATTTTTCAG